TATTATAAGGATATATAAAAATTATTGTATTAATTTTGTTACTGATTTGAAATCATATAGATTTAAAATAAAATAAAGTTGTTATAAATATTAATAAAAGAACAAAAATCTAGATAATGATCTTTTTAATTTTCAACACAGATATGATAAAATATATTTGAATATTGAATCTAATCTAATCTAAAATAAAATAAAAATATAATTAATTGAATTTGATAAAAATGTATATAAATAAAATATAAAATGAATACTCACAAATTTGCAACAACTTCTTACCAAGTTAAAATATTATCAATTCTTTCAATAAATGTTTTACGATTTTAAATTTAATTACTATTAATTTAATTAGATTTAAAATCAGAATTTAATATCTTCTTAAAAAGTATCTAAAAATATTTATGTAAAATATTACAGTTGATGTGATTGGACATTTAAGAATTTAAGTAAGAAGATATTCAGCAAATGGGACATTTTAGACTGATGCTTTAATTTTTTATTTTTCCATGGTTCTAGTATCCCATTCAATTTAAGAGACAGGTAAGAAAACTCCATGTTCAATAGTTTCATGTATATTAAATACTGAAAATTTAATTCCACACATTCTTCTATTAGATCCTATAACTTAGATTGTAACTTAAGATATTTTAGTATCATCAAAAACAATGACTCTTATAATATATATATTGATTAAATTACCTTTTGTATGATCCACAATCATAGATACTTTAAATAATAGGGTTTTTATCAAATTGTTATTAATCCTATTCACATTATTTTTCAAAGATATTAAGATTATAGGAATATAAAATAGTTTACAAAATGGTAGCTCTTTCTTCATTTTATAATTTATCATAAGAGATAGCAAACTCTCTTTAGATTGTAGAAAAGTTGATAATAGTATTTCCTTAAACTTTTAATTTAGATTTATTTGGTCCAAATGATTCAAAACAATTAGCTAGATGTATTGATAATTATTATTAATCAAGTTATTCTTTAATGATTTAAATTTAACTTTTAGTACCAGCATTCCATGTTTTACATCTGAAATACTTTATACCTAAAATATTATTAGAGAAATTAAATTATAAAGTTTTTAGTTATTATTCAAATGCTTAAACAATATTTTTTATATATTTAAGAAATTCTTATGGTTATTTAAGTACAATATTTTCTTAAGCAAATGAATAATTTGGTTTAGATTCAGCCATTATTATTTTTACTTTATCTTTAGAGAAATGTCTTTCAACTAAAGCTTCTGCTACATCATCTTCTCCAAATTTAGGAGATTTCTCTGTTAACTTTAATAATTTACTTTTACAATAATAATTATATTCATCTTTTATAGATTTAGCATCTTTAAAAAATATATCCATTGTAGAATAATCAAGTTCTAAATCTAATTTAAAACAATCATAATTTGAAGAATCAAATATTATTACTCTAAATTAATCTGTTTCTAAATGATGTACATAAACAAGACAATTAAAATCAAGAAAATCCAATTTTAAAGTTAATCCATTCAATAATCCATAAGGTTTAGGCCATAATTAAATTTTATATTATTGAGTATTTTCATCTTAAATAACTGCTGTATATGGTAAAATTAAGAATTTAAAAAATTAATGAGTTGTACTAATATTTGGTAAATTAGTTGGTAAAGAATCTTAAAAATCTACATAACCAAGTAAACTCTTTAAAAGATCAAATGGAATTTATTCTGAACAAATTTAATTGTTTTTTTAATTAAATGCCTTCAATATTAAAATCTTTCCTTCATTTGAATCTGTTATCATAGCATCAACTTTAAAGTTATGTATTACTGTTACATCATTTTCCCATGGATTATTCTCATTTTAAGAATGAAGTTTAGTATAAATCTTACTAAATCCTGTATTTAAATCAAGCATATCTAATAATTATAGTAAATATGTTTGATTTTATCTTATTATTCTAGGACTAGTATCATCCATTTCATATTTAAATTCTTCTCCAGGTGAATGACTCAATTAACTCTATCCTCTTGCTAATAGTCTATTCTTTGTTTCTGAATTCCCACCTGGTAATTAAATATTTATATTTGTGTTAGCTTTTGTTGAATAATTGCTCTACTATGTCTTTTGATAATTGATGCCTGAATTTGCTTAAAACTATAATAAAAGACTTTGTTATTATTGTTATAATTATTATTATTATTACTATTATTATTATTGTTATTAAACAACTTTTTCTAATTTTTATTACTTATCTTATAGATCTTAAATAAAAGATCTCAATTCATGTACTTCACTCTATTTTTGATCTTTCTCCTTCTTGTAATTACTGTTCTCATTCTTTAATTATACAAGATTGCCTTCTAACTATTCTATTTTCTTTTTTAATTATTCATTCTATTGATTTTATTAAGAAATTGAATCTTATTTCTTATCTAACATTTAAGAAGCATATAATTGCTTAAGTTCTTAAAGTTCTTATTATTAATGAACCAATTTATTTTATAATATTTCAAATTCCATTGAATCCAATTTATTTGTATTACTTTATTTCAAATTTTACTAAGATTACTAAAGTTGATTTTTGTTTTTTGAGGTTGGACTTGAAACTTGGTTTTGTAACATAATTTATGAAGAATTGTTTTCTTATTTTAATTACTTAATGGAGAATTACTTTTTAATTATAATTGGTTTTTTTTCTTGTTAACTTAATTCAGTGAAGATGGAGTTAACTTTTTCTTTTTTAGCAGACAATGGTATTAATCTATTATTAGAAAGAATGATTACTTATCTAATAATGAATTAATTAATGGTTAAGTTAATAGGGTATTACATTAGGAATCAATAAAAAAATTGGATTGATTATCAATAACATAAGTGATTTATAATTAAGTAGCCAGAAATTTAAAATATTAATTATCTTATTGGGATAGATGATTATTAGATTGATGAGTAAATCCTGGACTAAAAGATCTATTAATAGTTAATAATTAATCAGAGATTGATTAACCTAAATATTTAGATGATAATTTGGTTGCATTAATGATGAATTTTTTTTTTAATTCTTGAATAGAGTAATCAGAATTTTTTCCGAAAATTTCAAGTGCTTATTAAGAATATCCTAATTTGTTAGAGATATCAATTTATTGAGTTAATAAGACATATGCAATTACAAGTGTTTATAGATCATTAGGATCTGGTATTTAATTTTTTTTAATAGATGAGAAGACAAAAGATTCTAATTATTCAAATAGTGCAACAGATCCTTTTAAGGAATGAATTATATCTAATGAAGTAGATAAGAAAAGTATTTTCAATTATAATCGATTATATGAATTGGTTATCTATATATATAAAAGTATATGTAATTACATGTTGAATATCAATATGAAATAGTTTTTGAAATGCTTAGAAATCAGGATTAAGTAGTAACATTTCGGAGAGTATTTCAAAGATTCTAGTTAATTATCCAGATTAAGCTTATAATATTTCATAATTAAGTAAGAGGATATATTTATAGATATCTTGAAATTGATTATCTATGAGTATAAGAGAATCATAAAGCAAATGTAGAAATTGAATAAGTTATTTTGGAAGTTGAAATTAATGGATATGAAAGAATAAATTAACAATTTATGATTTATCTAATGAGTTAGTAATTTGTTAAATGGTTTATTATGTTGACATAAATTAACTAATTAATTAGATTAGTTTATTTGGATTGTTGGGAATATTTGCAGATAAAGTAATTTCTTAAAGAAGTGTCTAAGATGGTAATAATAATTTACGAATGATTTAACAGGTCGATCTCTTTTCGAATCTCTTCTAGATTATCTTAGAGAATGATAAATAGTAAGATCAGGATTTGTCTATTCTTATTATATAAATTTGGAATACATAATTATATATAATATATATATATATAATACAAATTTGGAATAAATAATTATATAATTAATTTGTTAAAGGAATTTAAACAGTGATGCAACTCAATAAACTTTTCTTTCCTAGTTGCAAACCTACTTATACAAAAGTATCAATATCACTTTTGAGGAATGTTGAATTACTATAGATCCAATCAGGGAATTCAGAGTAATGTTTTAGTTGCAGTAATGACTTCCAATTTAGATTCAGGTATACCTCAGAATCGTTAAGTTCCAGTATTATTAGTGAAACACGATAACTTCCTTGATGATCCTAATAATAAATACATTATGTTTTTCCATTCTAATAGTGAAGACATGTAAATAATTTATATTATATATATAGATATAATTGTTATGAATATTTATTTCCAATTGTTTCTACATTTAATGTCAACCTTATCTTAGTTGAATATCCTAGTTATGGAATCTATTCAAATCAATCTGTATATTAATAATATTATTTATAAATTAGGCATCTGCAGATACAATCTCTGAAGATGCCATTGCTGTCTATCAATATTTTATAAATAAAAGAAGAATCAAATAAGATGATATTATATTAATGGGTAGAAGTATGGGATGTGGACCTGCTTGTTTATTAGCTTCTAAATTTAATCCTGCTGCTCTTATTACTATTAGTGCATATACTAGTCTTAAAGAAGTTGCATAAAGCTTTATTGGTAATTACATTCTATACTATTCCTAGGATCTGTACTATCTAAATTAATTGATTCAAAATTTGATAATCTTAAAATTATTAATGATGTTACATGTCCTATGTTAGTTATACATGGATAAAAAGACCTATTTATCAACTGTGATCATTCCAAAAAATTAATTTCATCAACTAAATCCAAAATTAAATAATATCATCTCTCATTAAATATGGTATACTCTTTTTATATCTATAGACCCATAATGATTTTAGTATTCAAGATGATATTATTCAACCACTTAAAAATCTATTCGATAAAATTAATTTCATTCATATCCCTTCATAAAAAGAAATTAATTAACCTCTTAAAATACTCTTAAGATAATAACACTCTAAATAGTCAACTAATTTAATTCTTTGATATTTTTATTATATTTTATATTTCATTCCTATATACTATATTATTTTATTTTTCATTCTCTATTATTCAACTTCAAACTATTTATTATATTATATATTTATCAAATCAATCATTATTCATTAAAATAACATCTTTATTAAACATATATACATTTTTACAAAATTTAATTTAATTATTCATTTAAATATTATTTAGAAAACATCACAAATAATAATTAAAAAAAATATTTTCAAATACCCAAACTAAATTCTCTCAAATCATCATCATACTATAGAATTATTATCATTTAACCCATTAGTAAATATTTTATTTACAAAAACTAATTTGAAATCATTCTTAAATAAAATTCAATTACATTTACTAAAATAAATCATTTCTTTTATTTTTCAAACAAAATTTTATTAGGTGTAGTATAATTCAATCATCCTAACATCTATATATAATCACAAAAATCAAAAAAAAATCGATTCAAATAAATTCTTAAAATAAAATCACATAAAAGGATTATTAAATTAATGAATTCTTTAAATATTATTTTTAATTAGTAATTCATCATAAATTTTTATTAAAATTTTTAATATATATTTTAAACTCATATATCTATGCTTGTTTAAATAAATCAATAGGTGAGATAAATATATTTTATTGTGTCTTTAATAATAGTCTATAACTGAAAGTAATAGATTTAGAATGTTCATTTCTTAAATTCTATCATTATTAATAGTTAACATGAAATGATTTTTTGAATTTTCAAATATAATTTAAAAACTTATTCAAAAAATGTCCTCAATAGAGAATGGAATTAAAAGTTGTGCTACTCACTAGTTAGAAATTCTAGCAATTGATCTTAAAGCTCCTAAAGAAAAGAAAGAAAAATTCTTATGTGTAAAATGTTTAATTTAAAGAATTGATGGAAATTATATAGTACTATTAAATGAAGGTCTTGAGATGATTAAGGAAATGAAAAATAAATGTAAATAATAATCAATGGATAATACTTAAAAAACACTGAATAACATCAAAAGTCTTTAATCCTCTGTCTTAGAAATAAATAAACTATTTTCAGATGTTTTTGGTAAGTTACAAAACAACTTTGATGAAAATATCAATTAAAATTAATAAGAAATCGAATGTAAAGAAAAGACTACAGAGGAATTAGATTTTGATGAAGATTTTGAAACTCTATCAAATAATTATAAAGGAAATTTTGATTATGAAACTCCAAAATAAAAAGTTGATATAGAAAGCTTCAAATCATTAATGGATAGTATTTAAGGTTAATTATCTTGGATGGCTAATGCAGAACAATTCTCTTAAATATTTGAATCAATAAAATCTATAAAATCTTAATATTAAATTGAATAACCAGTACTTAAAAAAGAAGTAGAAAAACATGTAATTATTCTTTATTATACATTAGAAAACCCTAAGTTTAAGTTAAACATGCAAACAGAATGATCATGGTTTAGAAATAATTATGATATATCTTAATGAAAATGAACCAGATAAAAGTGGTTTAGCTTGTTCAAGATGTATTTAGTAATTTCCAAAAAGAGAATATATTACATTGGAAGATTCAAATATAAAATGGAAGGAATTCAATAGGTAATAAAATTAAATGATTACTAAATATAATAATAATAGATTTGCTAAATTTAATTCTGCAATCAAATCTATTTAGTAATTAAAGGAAATCTATAATTAAACTTTATCTGATATCATTTTATAATTAGAAAGAAAGAGAGTTTTAAATAAAGATATGCAGTAAGCTAATCAAAATATAGTTGAAGAGATATATGATTTAAATGAATAAGAAATCATAAGAGTTGTTGAAATTCTTAGTTAGATAGATAAACATTAAAAATTAAAAAAGGAATAAGAAGAATAAGATTAAATTGATTCAATTTTTTATTAAAATCTTAAGTAAAATTTAGAAAATCTTATCTAATATGATGTGCTTACAAAACATAATTTATTGAGAATTCAAAATTCAAATTACTTAAAATAAAAAAATGAAGAGGAAATCATTTAAGTTAAAGAAAACTGTCATACTCCAGATATCAATTTTTTCATCAAGAAATTTGAATTATAGGATGAATATATATCCATACTTGATGATGCATTTAATTTTTCTAAGATGTTATAATAAGAAGTAGATGATTTATAATAAAAAGGTACGTTATCTTAATTATTCAATTCAGAATAAGAAACTCAATCATAAATAATATAAAAATAATATGAAACATTTTAATAAAATTAGAATAGAATGAAAACTTTTATCATGGCAGAAGAAAATCTAAAGTAATTGTCAACTCTATAAGATGAACTAAATTAAAATAAATAATAATAATTAACTGTTTAAACATAATTAGATGAATCCAATTAAAAAATTGAAACTTTAAATGCTAATATAGAGTAATTAAATTAAGAAATTTTAAAGTTTTAATAAGAAGTTTCTAATAAAGACGAAGCTAATAAATAAATTGAAACTTTAAATGCTCAAATTGAATAATTAAAATTAGAAATAACTCAATCTTAATAAATTTAATCTAAATTAGATGAATAGATAAAAACAGTAGAAACTTTAAATGCTGAAATAACATCATTAAAATAATAGATAACTAAAAATTAATAAGATGCTGATGGTAAATTAAAAGCAAAAGATCAGGAAATAAATACTTCTAAATAACAATTCAATTAAATATAATAAGAACATAATTAATTGAAATAAAATCTAATAGAAAAACCTAAACTCCTTTCTGAATAGTATTGTAATGAAGTATGGAAATAGATTGAAGAAAAAACAAAAAAGAAGATTAAAATGTCTATACTTATTTATTAAGGAACAAAAGATGGAATGAATCATACAACTTCTTGGAGTAAAATAAATGGAAAATAAAATTTACTTTTTGTTTTTAAATCTAAGAGTGGGAATATTTTTGGTGCTTATTCTCCTTGTTAATGGTTATAAAATAAAAATAGTTATGTATAAGATGATACATTATCATCATTTCTATTTACTCAGACTCATAATTAATTTTATCCTTTGATAGAAGCTAACAAAGCCAATGCTATTTATAGCCACTCATCATATGGTCCAACTTTTGGTAGTAATCATGATTTATATATTGGTACTGACTTTTAAAGTGGATCCTCAAATATAGGAGGAACATATAAGGTTGATTAATACAATATTGCTGACAAGACTATTCACTTATATGGCTAAGCAACACCAAATTTAGAAGAATGTGAAATATTTGAGCTTATTTTAAAATGATTATTATATGGAATATTTTAAATTAGTGAGTTAAAAATTTATATCTTATTTAATGTATTTTTTATTAGGAGTTTTTTCCTCATAATCTAAAGTTCTCTGTGAAATAACAAATTTAAATAATATTATCATACATACATCTGTTAAATCATAAAAATTTCAGATTATTAATTTTATATTTCTATCTATTTTAAAAATATCAAATTAGTTTTTCATAAGCCAAATAGTTTTGATATTTCAAATCAAAAATGATGATGGTTATCCCAAAAAGTTGGACAAAAAAGCGTTTATTTTTGAAATTTAGATTCTAAACATAATTATATTTAAAAAAATATTTTACAATTTTTTGATTTCAACAAAATATACTCTCCTTAGTATTAAAAAGAAGAAAAATCGATTTTTCATTTTTTAAAGATTACAATAATTANACTAAAAATTAATAAGATGCTGATGGTAAATTAAAAGCAAAAGATCAGGAAATAAATACTTCTAAATAACAATTCAATTAAATATAATAAGAACATAATTAATTGAAATAAAATCTAATAGAAAAACCTAAACTCCTTTCTGAATAGTATTGTAATGAAGTATGGAAATAGATTGAAGAAAAAACAAAAAAGAAGATTAAAATGTCTATACTTATTTATTAAGGAACAAAAGATGGAATGAATCATACAACTTCTTGGAGTAAAATAAATGGAAAATAAAATTTACTTTTTGTTTTTAAATCTAAGAGTGGGAATATTTTTGGTGCTTATTCTCCTTGTTAATGGTTATAAAATAAAAATAGTTATGTATAAGATGATACATTATCATCATTTCTATTTACTCAGACTCATAATTAATTTTATCCTTTGATAGAAGCTAACAAAGCCAATGCTATTTATAGCCACTCATCATATGGTCCAACTTTTGGTAGTAATCATGATTTATATATTGGTACTGACTTTTAAAGTGGATCCTCAAATATAGGAGGAACATATAAGGTTGATTAATACAATATTGCTGACAAGACTATTCACTTATATGGCTAAGCAACACCAAATTTAGAAGAATGTGAAATATTTGAGCTTATTTTAAAATGATTATTATATGGAATATTTTAAATTAGTGAGTTAAAAATTTATATCTTATTTAATGTATTTTTTATTAGGAGTTTTTTCCTCATAATCTAAAGTTCTCTGTGAAATAACAAATTTAAATAATATTATCATACATACATCTGTTAAATCATAAAAATTTCAGATTATTAATTTTATATTTCTATCTATTTTAAAAATATCAAATTAGTTTTTCATAAGCCAAATAGTTTTGATATTTCAAATCAAAAATGATGATGGTTATCCCAAAAAGTTGGACAAAAAAGCGTTTATTTTTGAAATTTAGATTCTAAACATAATTATATTTAAAAAAATATTTTACAATTTTTTGATTTCAACAAAATATACTCTCCTTAGTATTAAAAAGAAGAAAAATCGATTTTTCATTTTTTAAAGATTACAATAATTATAATGATTAAGAAAATAAATATTAATTTTTTAATTATTAACCAGTCTCCATTATTTATATATTTTTAAGAATTTAAATTCACAATTAAATGTTTTTAGTAAAATTGTACAGATAAAAATATGAAATGAAGGATAAAAAAGTAATATTTTCATGTATCAATAATATTTTAAACAAAATAAATTTTTAATAGTAGAATTCCTAATACTTGTCCATAATAATATATCAAAATTCTTTATGATTTTATTAATTTTTTTTAGAAATTGAATTCCTTCTATTTTATTATCTAGTTATAAAAGTAAGAGTATTAGTAAATTAAGATAAAATTAGATTTTTAAAATATTTTTTTAAGAGATCTTAATATATTGTTAATATCTTCAATTATTTTATTTAATTATTAATTCTTAATAACTTTTATCTTATTGTTAAATTACTCAAATAAAATAAGAATTTTTTGATTTCTAATTTCAAAAAATAAATCTTATATATATTTAGTAGATAATATATAATTATATGGTTTATCAATATTTTTCTTTCACTTTAAAAATAAAATTAATTAATTAATCAGAAGGGGTATAATCTGATTCATTGTCAACTTTTTGTAGTAATTATTAATTATAAAAATTAGAAGATGAATAAAAACATTTTTTTAAATTAGAGATATTTATTTAAAATTATGAAGAAATAATTTTGATTATAATAGTAATGATTTTGAATTGTAAATATTATAAAATTAATAAAAGGAGGTTTATTTTAAGATAATTATAATAAAAACTAAACCATAATTCATGGATGTAAAACTTATCAATCAGAGAAGTTTGACTTCTTTTCAATACTTAATTAAATATTGGATTATTTGGCTATATCCAAGATAAATTGAATAATCACACACAAAACGACTATTAGAACAATAGACAAAACAGTGGCAATAACTATTCTTTTGGTTTGATTATCTTTATTATCTAAATCTAGATGAATAAGGAAGATGATATAACCTAAAAAATTATAGAAAGGTGTTCCTTGTAAATAATCTGCAATTTCTAATAAGAATACTTCGTTGGTTTATATAGTTTTGTTTTCTTATGTATCGAGTTTAATAAGGAAGGTAGGTTGAATTTGATCTGAAATAGGGATTGGTTGAACAAATGCTAAGAGAAGCAATAAAAACATTAATACTCAAATAATATATATATTTCAAACATCTAATTTAAATCGATGAAAGGAATCAAGGTCAGCTTTTTTGAAGGCTTTTGATTTTGAATTATTGATAAAGTCTTAGAATACTTTGGAATCACGAACTTAAGAATCATTAAAGATGGCCTATATATTATAGAGATCATTTTAAAACCTAAAGATAGATATCCAATGATTATTTTCTAGTTTAAATGAAATTGGGATTAAGATTACCAAAGAGTCGTTTTTCAGGGAATGCTGGTAATTGGGACTTGATCACTTCATCAAGGGTTGAATGGAGCTCAGATAACATGCTATATCTAGTCCAGAAAGACCATACAACATTGTCAACTTTAATTCTAATGAGGTATTAGGTATGGGAATTGCCTTTAATTTTGTGGTCATGAAGAGAAATCCAATCATTGGTCTCAAGTGAACGACGTTTACGCTTCTTTGATTTACCCAAGAATTGTAAAACTGGAGCTTCTGATGTATGGGGTTATGATTATCCGACCTATTTAGGATTTCAGGTACTATTTACATGAAGGTGAACTGACATCATTGTTGTGGGTAAGAAGGATTTGCAGTTTTATTTAAAAATAAATATTTATGTAATAAAACTTAATGTACCATCATCATAAGCAATAATCTTAAATTAGAATTACAAAGCAATTTTATACTTAATAATCTAAATTAACAAACTTTTCTTTTCTTTATATTAAATACACTCTATTTTCAATCTAAAACAATCAACACTAATTTTCTTTTGATATTAGAGCTTGAAAAAGGATTTCATGTATATTGACTCCCGATTTAAGCAATCCTTTAATTACTTGATTAAACAAAAGAAAAATGTATGTTCAACATAAAATTGTTCAATTAAGTTATTGGATAATTAATTAAAATGCTTATCATTAAGTCGATTATTGTTTTTGCAATTTAAAAGAATCAATGAAATAATTAGAAGAATAAAGTTAAATTAGCAAATGTTGTTTATTAGAAATAAGTGATATTTTCGATAGGAGAATTGGCATATGTTTTTTTATTTGATTATATTTAATATTAAATAAAATGGATGATGATATTTTCTTAGGTTTGGAAACTGTTTAGTAATTTGATGAGAAAATGAAACAGTTTTCTTAATAGCATCAATTTAGAAGACAATTATAAAGATATCCAGTATAAAAAATACTAAAGAGATCAAACAGTTTTGCATAGAGTTAAATTAGTACAGCAATAAATTCATCTGCTCATGCAAGCAGAAAATAAACAATATCATAATTAGAAATAAATGCACCAAAACGAAGGCATTGTGAGTTTTACAATGATGAATTTTGCATGAATCTATTTGCTGAAAAAATAGAATACTTATGCAGTTAATGTTTCGATAAAAATGAAATCGTAATTAAAGAGTTAAATAGAGTAGCATAAGAATTAGGGTATTAATATAATAATTAAGAATATCATTAAATCGAGTTTAACAATTTGAAACAGTATAAGAAAGAGAATACTATATACTAAATTAGTTATAAAATCAAGTACTTGATTCACTTAGGTAATGGAAGTAAAGGATTGATTAAAGAGACATATAAAGGAGAAAGAGTGATAATATAACAATTATTACTCATAGTTAAGATAAAATGTTGGATATATTTGATTGGATTGAGATAGATACGAAATTTAGATAATTGAAAAAGAGACTGAAATTTGCATTGGTAGAAATGATTAATGATAAAAATAATACTAGTAAGATACATATGTAATTGTCCAATCGAACAGGTGAAACAATTTAAGATTTACTTTATAAGAAACCTGATACTAGATAAATAATTGATGAATTAACTAATTTATTAAAGACAATTAAGAATAAAAGAAATAATACAAATGTNGGGTAAGAAGGATTTGCAGTTTTATTTAAAAATAAATATTTATGTAATAAAACTTAATGTACCATCATCATAAGCAATAATCTTAAATTAGAATTACAAAGCAATTTTATACTTAATAATCTAAATTAACAAACTTTTCTTTTCTTTATATTAAATACACTCTATTTTCAATCTAAAACAATCAACACTAATTTTCTTTTGATATTAGAGCTTGAAAAAGGATTTCATGTATATTGACTCCCGATTTAAGCAATCCTTTAATTACTTGATTAAACAAAAGAAAAATGTATGTTCAACATAAAATTGTTCAATTAAGTTATTGGATAATTAATTAAAATGCTTATCATTAAGTCGATTATTGTTTTTGCAATTTAAAAGAATCAATGAAATAATTAGAAGAATAAAGTTAAATTAGCAAATGTTGTTTATTAGAAATAAGTGATATTTTCGATAGGAGAATTGGCATATGTTTTTTTATTTGATTATATTTAATATTAAATAAAATGGATGATGATATTTTCTTAGGTTTGGAAACTGTTTAGTAATTTGATGAGAAAATGAAACAGTTTTCTTAATAGCATCAATTTAGAAGACAATTATAAAGATATCCAGTATAAAAAATACTAAAGAGATCAAACAGTTTTGCATAGAGTTAAATTAGTACAGCAATAAATTCATCTGCTCATGCAAGCAGAAAATAAACAATATCATAATTAGAAATAAATGCACCAAAACGAAGGCATTGTGAGTTTTACAATGATGAATTTTGCATGAATCTATTTGCTGAAAAAATAGAATACTTATGCAGTTAATGTTTCGATAAAAATGAAATCGTAATTAAAGAGTTAAATAGAGTAGCATAAGAATTAGGGTATTAATATAATAATTAAGAATATCATTAAATCGAGTTTAACAATTTGAAACAGTATAAGAAAGAGAATACTATATACTAAATTAGTTATAAAATCAAGTACTTGATTCACTTAGGTAATGGAAGTAAAGGATTGATTAAAGAGACATATAAAGGAGAAAGAGTGATAATATAACAATTATTACTCATAGTTAAGATAAAATGTTGGATATATTTGATTGGATTGAGATAGATACGAAATTTAGATAATTGAAAAAGAGACTGAAATTTGCATTGGTAGAAATGATTAATGATAAAAATAATACTAGTAAGATACATATGTAATTGTCCAATCGAACAGGTGAAACAATTTAAGATTTACTTTATAAGAAACCTGATACTAGATAAATAATTGATGAATTAACTAATTTATTAAAGACAATTAAGAATAAAAGAAATAATACAAATGTTTAATTGAATTCACCAAAATCTGTTAGGATAGACAAATGGAATTAAAGTAAAGAAGAATTGTTTCTTGCGAAGAGATTATCTGCTAAATAAAGATTGAGTAAATTAATAAACAGTAGTTCTTGGAATAGTATAGCTATAGGGGAATTTGTAAGTAATTTAGATAAAGGATAATAGAATAAATAGAAAAGGTAAGAATTAGAGTCTAAATTTGAATCATATTAATGTATGAATGAGGATGATTTATTATATTTAATTAACACAAGTGTATTATTGAATAGATGTTCAGATAAAAAGTAATTAAATGATAATATACAATAGATTCATATAAAGTGCTATCAATCATTTAGATTAAGATATTATTAGTGATATTGAATTATAAATAGCTGAAAATATTTTGAAAAGTCATTTTGATATATAAAAATAAGTAAATTAATCAAGACATGATTTTTTAAAAGAAAGAAATGAAATACAATTTATAAAAAATAGAGAATCTAAAAATATTTAAGAGAAATAGGAGAAATAAAATTCAATAAAGAAATTATAAATTAAGATGTGTAATATTTTAAGAGAGATGAAAGATAAAACTAAGACTACAATGAAATAAGATTCTGAAAAATATCATTTATACTATTAAGAATATAAATAAGGAAATCCAATAGCAAATCCTTATGTATGGAAATTTAAGGAGATAATGATGAATGTAATAAGAAGAAAAGTATAATTTGATATATTCAATAGAAAAATGAAAGAAGAGATTAAAAATTAGGAGTGAAAAGTGAAATTCATAAACCAATATTTCCATCAAAAGAAGAATCATTGACATTAATGAATGTGATTCGAAAAACACATCCTTCATCAAAATTACGATTAATACCATAATAATAATAAGAATATTTTCCAACTCCAGCAAAAGTATTTAATGAATACAAACTAAAAGTGTAAAAGAAAGAATATGAATAAATAAAATCTAATTTTTAAAATTTCTATACTGGAGGACCAAAGAAAACTAGAATATATTCAAGTCCATAATTATAAGGAATAGAAGGAGGTGTAATAAAATCAGATTGGATAACTCCAGAAATAGAATTAATAGCTATAAATAAAATAAAAAGAGCATTAAAAGCATATGTTTCAAAAAAGAGATATTTAAGAGAGAGAGAAAAGAGAAGATAAAAAGATTATTAAGAAAAATAAAAGGATCCTAAATTCTTTAGAATTCTTAGTAGGATGCAATCTAAAAATTATAATACAATTGATATCGAAGAATGTTATAAAAGTCTTAAATAAGCTATTGCTTAGAGTGCTGGAAATTCTAAATAATAATTTTAAAAAGGAATATAAATGGATTATTCTAAAATTAAAGTACCTCATTCAATGATTTAATTGAAATTAAAATAAAGAAAGTTATTTCTAGCTTTAAAAGTTGGAAATACAAATTGGGCTGAATATTCAGGTTTTTAATTTGAACCATAAGATGTTAATTGTTATGATACTGATATGTTTTGTCCTCTCTATCATGCTGCTAAATTATAAAGTATTACATTTTGTAATTTTCTAATTAATGCTGGTGCTGATGTTAATATGCCTTGTAAAGGAGGATTAACTCCTACATTTGCTGCATTTATAACTAATAATATAGTCTTAATCAATCTATTTATTTCAAATGGAGCTAATATTGATACATTAAATGATGAAGGCAAAAATCCTTTATGTTATTGTTCTATATCTATGCTTAAAGAACTTAATTTATAATATAATCCTGTTAATAGTAAATCATAATCTCATAGACAAAAAAGTAGAAGAACTTAATCCAATTTAGAATAGAATTATTCACCCTATGCTGAAATGAAAATGGAACCTATGTTTAATGTTAATGATGAAATCAAATGGTAACAAGATTAAATTATTTCATTAAGAACATTTTATACTAAAAAAGAAAGAGATAACTTTTACTATCTAAAATCAAAAGCTTAGTCTTAAAAATAAGAATAAAATAATTAAGAGAATGCAGAATTAAAATGATACACTATTTGTTTTACTCTATTTTAATTACACTTCTATTATTATTTATTTTAATATCCACTACAATTAAAATATTTAATCAAATAAAATTTTATCATGAGAAATTATGTTTATTAAACCTTTTTGGAGATGGAAAATAAGTTTTCATCACTCTACTCATTCTATTGTTAAAAATCTTACAATTATTCTTTTAAAGTGATGTACTACATTATCTTTATTTTTTATTTTATTAATAATCTGCCTACTTTTTTATTAAATTTAGTAGAGTTTTCTATTAATATGTTGATTTCCCTATAGATTTAGGAGAATTTTCAATTTTATCAGATTTAGTTTCACATGATTCAGTTAATTAAATTGAATCTGAGAAAACTAATTTATTTATTGAAGGTATATGTGAATCTAAACCATATAATCTACAACAATCTTTGAGAAATCTATTTCTAGGAGTCATTTAATGGGTAGAGATATCTTTTTGTTATATAAATGAATTATTATTGATATTACTTTAACTGATACTATTTTCTTTAATTTATTTATCAATAGATAATAAACTAGGCACATAATCTGTTTTATTTGATTCTAATCGATTTAGTGTCTTTGTTTATTTTATTTTAAATTCATTTGTTTGTTGTAAATTTATATTACTATTTAATTTTTTATTTGATAAAAGTGAACATCTAACACTTTAAGGAGATATTTAAGATTTTTATGGTATTAATAGATGCAGAGTTTCTTAGAATTTCTATTTAACCATATCTGCAGTCATAGATATATCTGTGTTCTTTTTCAGAAGGAGATTTCTACACTTTCTCCATTTTTTTGAAGGACTTTAAGTACATGGACGATTTGAATAAACTAATAAATGCTGAATTTATTCAATTCTTTTAAAATATATTGGATTTTAATGTCTATGCATTTTTCGCCATTCTTTTTTCTATTATTTACTGCAAATACGTTTATCATACTCTCTAAACCAAAATTCTTTAGGTAATGATTGAGCTACAAGTACTCTACCATAAGAATCCATTCTTTTTGGTTTAATTTCATTAGCATTACGAAATAAGGTCTTTTTTGATAAATAATTGACAGGAGTTAGGAAATTAAAGAACGAAGAACCTTGCATGGTATTTAATTTATACATAATTTTTTTAATTGAATATAAAACTATAAAATAATTTTAATTGGTTAAAAGCTTAGAATTTAGATGAATTTAATCTAGAAATTAAAGTTAAAATTAAGATTTACCTAAACATTAAGAAATATCTATATAAAATTATATTTTGTAAATGAAATAAATAAAAAAATAATAGAATGAACATATATTAGGAAATATAAAGGAAATATCTATATAAAATGATAAATTTGTTTACACAGAATAAATAAGTGAATAAAAGATAGGTTAGATAAATTTGAATAAATTGATTATGAATTGTAATAAATAATATTTGTAAATATAAATGATAACAACTTCATAATCATCATAAGATTGTGAAGTAAAAGTAAAAAGAAGTTTGAAATAGTATATTTAAATTAATTTATGTAGAAAGAAATCTGTATTTGTATATTTACATAAAGAATAAATATGTTTAAAAAAATGTTTAAAAAAATGATTAAAAGAGTGTGAAGAGAGAAGATGATAGTAATTGTTGAGTGAAAATAAATAGCAGGATATTGTAATTAGAAGAGTATAAAAATGTTTAAGATTATGAACAACTTTGTCATTTTAAGATTTTATATATATAATAGAATAGAAGAGATTGAATATAATAAATTAATAAGAGATTAAGATGAACATATATGAAGATTGAAATAAAAAAATTGATGATTTAATTATATTTTGTTATATTTTGATTAAGTTAAGGAAGGTTTTAAGGTATTATTCAATAATTAATTAATGAAGTTAAATAAAATCAAATTAAAATGATTTTGGAATAATTGAAAGAATTATAGATCATATATGAACAACATCTATTTTGGTATATTTAATGATAATATATATGATGTTATTTAAAATATATATATATTAAGAGAGAGATTTATATGGGACTGTGTCTATCAAAATAGGAAGCAGAACATCATTCAACTTTATCATAGGAGAGATTACCATAGGAAGATGAGATAGATGGAATTTAAGTAGAATAAATTAGATTAAGTGATGAAGAGAAAGTATCACTTAAGGATTTTGAGTTTCTTAAAGTATGAATTCAATAAATGAGGTACTTGGAAGAGGTGGGTATGGCAAAGTGGTCTTAGTTAATCATAAGTTTTAATCTAAATTATATGCTATGAAAATCATAAGAAAAGATCTTATACAATAAATGAATTCTCGAATATATATGGAAACAGAGAGAAACATTTTAGCTTTAGTTAAATGTCCTTTTATTGTTAATTTACATTATGCATTCTAAACAAAATAAAAATTATATTTTGTGATTGATTTTATGATTGGAGGTAACTATTGATTATTTCATAACTTTAAAAGGAGAATTATTTTATCATTTAAAACGAATCAGCAAAATGGAAGAATCATGGGCTAAATTCTATTGTGCTGAAATTATATTGGCAATAGAATATCTACATAGTCAAAATATTATCTATAGAGATTTAAAACCAGAGAATATTTTACTTGATTAAGATGGACATATCAAAATTACTGATTTTGGTTTATGTAAAGTAGATATAAAGGAAGGAGATTTTACTACTACTATTTGTGGTACATATGATTATATGGCTCCAGAAATATACTTAAAAAAAGTAAGTTCATATATTTATATTTCTTTAAGGGTCACAATTAAACTGCAGATTGGTATTCTTTAGGAATATTGTTATATGTTATGTTATAAGGAATACCACCATTCTATTCATAAAATAAAAGATAAATGATTCGTAATAGATTAGAAAAATAAATTGAAATCAAAACTCCCATTTCAGAAGAAGCTACAGATCTTATTAAATAATTACTTAAAAATAATGTAAATATTTATTATCTATTATATTTCTAAGCCAAAAGATAGACTTGGATCAGATGGATCTAATGAAATCAAATTGCATCCATTCTTTAATGGTATCGATTGGAATGAATTTATGGATAAAAAAGTGGCACCGCCTTTCAAACCTAAGTTGTTTGGAGATAGAGATCTTAGAAATTTTGACACTGTATTCATATTATATATATTGTAATAGACATTTACACAAGAAGTAGTATAAGACACTCCTATGAAATCTATGGCTCAAGAAGACAATTATGATAAGTTTTCTTATTAAGAACCACAAATGTTTGTCACTATGAATGAAGGTTTCTCACTTAATAAATGATAATAAATATTTAGTATTTTTAATATTTACAATTATATTCTATATATATGCATTATCACTCTTATAAATTAGGTATATGCTTTTAGAACAATTCACATTTATCAGCTAACATTTCATACAGATAATCAACATATTACTTTAAATATATTGTAGTATATTATCAATTTCCAATTAATAATATATATATATATATAATAGATCAATGTTTCTGTTTTGTAAATGCTACTATAATTTCTTTCAATATTTATATTTTAGCACTTTATGGTAAAGATTTAATTTATAAGTCCTGTCCCAATTCTAATTTTTAGAGTGATTCTACAAAGAAATCTTCTATTTATGTTCTTTAATCTAAAATAACTTAAGCAAGTTCTTTAACTTGATTTATTTCTTTTTATTTTATGTTTAGTTGTTCTTAAAATAATTGATGTTTCCTTAGTTAATTTTCTTCAAGTTTAGCATTCTAATCTTATAATTATTACAATTATATTTTAAGTGCTTTATTTTCATCTTTAAGTTTATTGATTTCTTTTTCAAATTACAACTTTTATGTAACAGAATTAGGTTCATTAGTAATTTTTTTACTTTATTAAACTTAAGATTATAAGTCTTCTTTGGATTTAATGAGTAATTTGATTTCTTGTTATAATTTAAGAATTTAATTATCTTTATATTGGATTAAAAGATTATGTTCTTCTTATACTTCTAATAAATAGTAAAAGATGTAATTTACTTAATTAAGCAGTTTAAAATTATTCTTCCCTTTATGATATTTCTAAGTCATAATGGGATTATATTTTATCAATTTATGCTTTAAGATCTGCAATAGATTTGATATAATTATTTTTTTCAATCTACCATAATTCTAATGGTTAAGATTGAATATTAAGGAGGTCTTTATTGACAACATTTAAATTGGAGACAATTTTGTCAACAAAATCACATTATAATTGAAGAGCCTATTCAATTTCTTCGTATTGATGTTATTACTATATCTAATTAATTGATTAATTATTCATTTTATAAAATTTAGATTTTAGTTACTATATTCCCAATTAGTCAATTTGGGTACAGAGAAGCGACAATATAATCTAAGATTTTGTTTCCATCCAGTACTGAATGGTGACCCTAACTATTATGGAAAATCTTTAAGATACGAAATTCTCTTCCAACTCTTATATTCCCAAGTAGTCATATTTTTGAAAGTCAACAAAGAATGAAACAGTAATAAACTTAATACCATTAATCCCATTGAAATTGATAATAATAAACTAATGATGACTAAAATGGAAAATAATCCACTATAAGAAGAGAAATCTATATGTGGAAAAGCCTTTATTAATATTATTTACATATATTTACTTCTCTCATCACATATGCTATTTCTTAAATCTAAAATAAGAGAAACCAATAAAAAACACATCTATTACGTTCTCCAATACAATTACTTGTCTTAAATTTATCTATATATATATAATTATACCCATGGACAATGATGATCATATAAGGCAATGCATCGATTACACTTTCTACAATGTTTAGAACGTATGATTTAATCTTAATTACAAATTGGACAATATCTCTTTTCTATAAACATGCTATTCCCATGATGAACACTTTAATCAATATTCTTTTCATTATTTGATGATTTTGGAGATTATTATTAATGTTCAACTTATTCTATATTTATTATTTCTTATTAATAATTAAATGGAGGATCAGTTTATCTATTTGTATTATTATTCTTATTATTATTATTTGTACTCCCTTAAGATAATATTTATGATGAAACAATATTATTATTTTAATGAGGACTCTGCGTTTATGAATTCATTTTTGAAGGTGTCTTACTTTTCTCAGGAGTTTTCTCGTAAGATTTAACATTATTCTCTATATTAGGTATATCATTATCAGCAAAGTTTTATTCATCAATTGATGCCTCACATTCCATTTCAAATTCATCTTTATTTCTTTATATTATAGACACATAATTATACTTTGGTTTCTCTTTTATTTGATTATCCACTTTTAAATCAATATGTTCCTCTGCTATTTATTCCTTTGTTCTCAATTGAGAATTTCGTGGAAGTGCATGAAATTATTATTATTTCTTCTTTTAATATGGATTAGAACTATCTGTATATTAATAATCATTTATTGTAACAAATCCTGGCTTTATTATATCATTATTATATACATCCTTAAATGCTGTAAATCCATAGAAAATTAAACTTAAAATTATCATCAAATATAAATAATATGTCCCTATATTTTATTTCTCAAATAAACCATCATCTACTATGCTAAAAATACTCAACAAATATATTTGCATAAATCCATACAATATTGGTGCTCAAAGATTTAATATAAATTATACCTAATTTAATCATCCCTCCAATATATATATAAATAATTTATTTATTATTTCTACTAATATTCAAATTTCTAACATTAAATCAATCATAATTTCTATCATTTATATACTTATCAATATAAAAAAAAAAACAGTTTCCTATATTTTAGGCTATTGTAAATAATAATAATTAAGAAACACAATATTATTTATAACTTTGATTCAATATTTTAAAAAATGTCATATACTCATTTCTACTCTTTTAGTTGAGTCTCTGTTTTACATTTTTAATATTTATTAATATTTGCATGTATTTTAAAATTTAATGTCGAATCATTTATTGAATCATTTTACATATGATTAAATGATTCTTTATGATAATTCTCAGGAGGAATCATTTTCAAAAACATTTCATTCACTGGTACCAAATGAATTTTCATCATCATATTCATCTATTCTATGCTTTTTCTTAATTTTATGTTATCCAATTTAATTTGTTATACAGACTTCAATAAACTATGATATTTATTCATTTATTTATGTTAAAATTGTAAATCCTAACTTATTTAATAATTATACCAAAAATCCTATCTTCTATTAAGATTTTAGTAACTGATTTTCTTATTTTAATTCTTCTATTGTCTACTCTAACTGTTTAATTTGTTGTATTAAAAAATAAGCATAAGAGGTTTCTGATTATTAAGATTAAGGTTTATTATTAGCAAGTGTCTTCGAAATGGAAAGAGATGTTGATAAATGATTTGGTGATCCATGTTATTCGAGTTATTTACGATATGATTTACAAGGAGATGGTTCTTATTTGAAAAATGTATTCTGGAAATGGTGAAGGCTTTTATTTTGATTCAACAATCTTAAATCACTCATATTTTGGTAAATAAATTTATTATATAATTATACTCTCAATAATTAAAGCAGATAAAAAAAAAAATACAAAAATTTGTAAATTCAAAATTGATCCAAATCCAATACCAAAAGGCTAGATTTAACAATTGGATCAATTTGGTTTTCTAATAATTCATCAAAACTTTCTATTGGTTCCTCATAATGGATGAGAACTAATGTTCTAAAACCTCTAAATTATTGTTTTGAGTATTTTCTATGCGGGAACTTATTGCATCGATTACCTATATATATTTTCATTCGATTTACATTGATTTCGAAAGGAGAAGTTTAAGTTTTTACATACTCCACAAATCCAGTCACCAACTCTTTATTTCCTTTTAACTACATACGGAGAACTATTCATATATTTTATTATTTGAAATTCAAAAAATTAATAACGATATATGAAATTAGATTTTCTTTTTTTATAATATATATTTATGATATACCATTAGAGTATTTAAGTTCTTTTACTAAAGTAAATAATTTGAATTTGATGTAATTATTTATAATGAATTAATAATAATCTCAGAGTTCAAGTCCAAGGAGAAATAATTCAGAGTTCAGTATTGAGGCACATCAAGTAGAATCTGAATCATCTTTGAATTTATAAATTGCCTATAGTTGGCTAACAGCAGTAAGAGCTATTTTAATTAGGCTCTTTTGATAGTTATATTGTTTAATTGTTTCTTAACATTGTTANTCAAAAACATTTCATTCACTGGTACCAAATGAATTTTCATCATCATATTCATCTATTCTATGCTTTTTCTTAATTTTATGTTATCCAATTTAATTTGTTATACAGACTTCAATAAACTATGATATTTATTCATTTATTTATGTTAAAATTGTAAATCCTAACTTATTTAATAATTATACCAAAAATCCTATCTTCTATTAAGATTTTAGTAACTGATTTTCTTATTTTAATTCTTCTATTGTCTACTCTAACTGTTTAATTTGTTGTATTAAAAAATAAGCATAAGAGGTTTCTGATTATTAAGATTAAGGTTTATTATTAGCAAGTGTCTTCGAAATGGAAAGAGATGTTGATAAATGATTTGGTGATCCATGTTATTCGAGTTATTTACGATATGATTTACAAGGAGATGGTTCTTATTTGAAAAATGTATTCTGGAAATGGTGAAGGCTTTTATTTTGATTCAACAATCTTAAATCACTCATATTTTGGTAAATAAATTTATTATATAATTATACTCTCAATAATTAAAGCAGATAAAAAAAAAAATACAAAAATTTGTAAATTCAAAATTGATCCAAATCCAATACCAAAAGGCTAGATTTAACAATTGGATCAATTTGGTTTTCTAATAATTCATCAAAACTTTCTATTGGTTCCTCATAATGGATGAGAACTAATGTTCTAAAACCTCTAAATTATTGTTTTGAGTATTTTCTATGCGGGAACTTATTGCATCGATTACCTATATATATTTTCATTCGATTTACATTGATTTCGAAAGGAGAAGTTTAAGTTTTTACATACTCCACAAATCCAGTCACCAACTCTTTATTTCCTTTTAACTACATACGGAGAACTATTCATATATTTTATTATTTGAAATTCAAAAAATTAATAACGATATATGAAATTAGATTTTCTTTTTTTATAATATATATTTATGATATACCATTAGAGTATTTAAGTTCTTTTACTAAAGTAAATAATTTGAATTTGATGTAATTATTTATAATGAATTAATAATAATCTCAGAGTTCAAGTCCAAGGAGAAATAATTCAGAGTTCAGTATTGAGGCACATCAAGTAGAATCTGAATCATCTTTGAATTTATAAATTGCCTATAGTTGGCTAACAGCAGTAAGAGCTATTTTAATTAGGCTCTTTTGATAGTTATATTGTTTAATTGTTTCTTAACATTGTTACTTTCATCCTTCACATTTCATTTAAGTTTTAGAATTCCGATTCTATTTGTAAGTATCGGACATCTATTGTATTTGATTAAAATTTGCATCTCTTATAATAAGATGTAAAATAATATATGTAATATATAGAGCTAAAAACAATCATCAGTGCTGCTTCGAGTTAATTTGGGGTATTGGATTAATTTCTTATTATGTATGTTTGATTAATAAGATCAGAGTTGCTTGATTTATTTTGTTGATAACAATGACTTTTAAATGCAATATTTGGCTATGGTTTTGGAAGTTTACACAATAATTTGGGTGATGCATTCTATATTGTAATTACATAGGAACAAAACTTAGATATATTAATTGAAATTGGTATCTATGTAAATGAAGAAAATAGATTGTAGTATTGATACGGTTTTGTTTTGTTACTTAATTGATGTTCATAAATTTGAAACTGATAGATTGGTTGTCTATTAAATGGATATACACATTTTCAATATTTTGGTTATTTTTATTGATATCTATTCTATTATAATTAGTATGTCTCTTGAAATTGCCAATGCTAATAAATAAATATTTACATAGCAGGATAGACTAAAAGGGAATATTGATGATTCACATAATTGGTATGATTTGGGCCAATTTGTTTTTATTTAGTTTTTGTGGTGTTCCTGTATATGCATTATTGAAGATGAGTTTGAGTTTGGAATAAAATATAGAATATAACTACATTTTGGCAATAATTTGTAATGTGTTTTAGACTTTAATATTTATGGTATACACGATATATCATAAAGATATATTATCAGCATTTATGATAGGTGTATTACACATATAAAGTTAAGAATAAATAGAAAGAGAACCTGAGATAATAAATTTTCCAAGTTGTAGAAATAATAAGAAATTTGTCTATAATTTTAGAGATAACATTTTGAATGATTTTCCAAAATAACTCATAAAGATCTCGAGTACTTATTATCTTCCTGAAGAATAAAGAAATCAAACAGAGATAAATTCAGCTGGTTTTAATAATAAATCTCCAACTTTAACAGAAATAGCTTAACATGATGGAATGATGAAATAGTGTTTTAATTGTTTTCATTAACAAAGTTGTACAGTATACATTCCATGTGGTCATGGAGGTGTATGTTAAAAATGTGCATTAGATTGGAATTAGGAAAGAAAAGAATGTTTGATATGTAGAAGTGTAAGATTAATTATTATCTTTAGCATACATAAGCTATATTAAAAGTTGTTTACGCAAATGATCAGAGAGTAAAAGTTGTCGATATAATTGCATTAAATTGATTTGTTTCTCAATAATTAATTTTATGAAACAGCCAATTCTTAATAAAGGATCAAAACCAGAAAGAAATCCTTCTTCTTACAATAATGATGGATTTGGAAGAGATACCTACATATCTTATAATAATGGAGGCAACTTTGGTACTGAATTCCGATTCCTCATTATGTAATAAAATAGAACTGGTATAAATATGATGCCATCTCCTTCACCAAGAGCCTAAAAAATACCAGAACGAATATTCTATCAATGTGATGGTACTGGAAGAGATACTTATGTATTGTAAAATGCTATGAATCTATTGCCAGGATGAATCCCTAAGAGAGATACTCTCCCTTGCATAATTATAAGTCTATGCTTAGAACACATGAATCCTTCTTCTCAACTCCTAAATATTAATATCAGTTACCTCCCTTGGCTAAAGAAAAACTTAAGTAGACTTCACTATTCCAAAAGAATCTTGTCTAACGATTGTCTAGACCCAAAACCAAAAAGGATTATTGATGGATTATTAAAAACTTTTATCATAATATCGATTAATGATATAAATATACTTTCTATTAATCAAATCTACACTATTTATATCCTAACAAATAATCTAAATACAAATATTTAAATGAAAACTTTTTACTTTTATATATATATAACAATTATACATTATTTTAAATAATAAAATAAATGGAAATTATTGATTAAGAGTCTCGCTTACTAAGTCAAAGAATCCTCAATGAATTTCATATTAATGAAATCAGAAATAATTTCATTAGCATTCTAGGAATCAACAAAACTCATTTCGGGTAATACCTCTAAAAATTATCTCAAGAATCACTGATTTCACCAATATTATCTATCAATTGGCTGAGAACAATCAGGTCTCATAATCTACAATCGAATAATGGTTTAACATTTTAGACTTAAATAAAGATGGAAAACTTGATTGGAATGAATATTTGAAGTTATTTGTCGATTACATTAGCAAAGTATAGTGTCTAACATACCTAAAATCATTGGCATCATTAGAGGAATAGAGTCAGTAATACATCTATATAAGCTTTAGATACCTAAAATAATTATAAATAGCTTTTTTAGCATCTCCATTCAAATAACTTTTCACCACCTAAAATTTATAATCAGTTGAACATGCTTTGGTTTCCCTAGAAAATAAATCATCAAACAAATAAATTAAAAAATATTACTTCATCTGTAGAGATTCTTTTGAGCCCTCTCTAATTCAATTAAATTAAGAAATCATAATTTTTTAAGACTTTAATATTTTGCCAGTCTAAATAATTTAAGTTCTGAAAATAGTTTTATTATAAAGATTACCCCACGTAAAAATTAACAAAATAGATTATGTTACTTAATTGATTTCTACAATAATAAATAATGGTTACTGCAATCATATATTTAAATTACTTCTTGTTGATGATGAAAAAGATTCAATTTAATTAGATGAAAAATATTAAAATCAAATTTTAGGAATGCAAGCTTTAACATTAATTGCAGCTACCATTCATATATACAACATTCATATACTAATTCCAATAGAAAGTGATTTATTGGTAGATACAATATTAAATATCTTAGCAGAAACTTAAAATGATCTTATAATTGAATAAGGTTACATTCTTTTAGGACATTTAATTTTATACAATAAAAAATTTCAACAAATCTTATTTACTAAGAGATAAGCAATTCTTGATGTATAATTAATTGATGATGAAAAAATATTTTATCATAGTTGGTTTATTGGATGTCTATTTAGTAGATATGAAAATCATCAAGCAAGTAAATTTATTACTTAAATGAATGTATTACCTGATAATTTACTTTGGCTTTAAAGTATACTCAATTATTATTAACAATATGGTTTAATTTAATCCATTGAAAAAAATTAGATTAGAATCTAAATACAAATAAATATGCTTATTATAATTCAACCCTTATTGGCTACTCAAATTCACTAAGATGTTCTTGTAGCACTATTACAATAATTATAAACTCAAGCTACTGATAATAGACTTAAATTATAAATTTTAAGCACACTTAAGAAAATATTCAAATTACCTTATTAATTAAATTATTAAAATTTTACATCATAAAATATCCTCTTATCTAACAATCTCTTAAATATATTAATGTAACTTATGGCAGATCCTAATTCATAGATGAGTTACAAAGCAAAGAAATTATTTTTTAAAACTCTATGTCTTGATAATTCAGGAATATTATTAAAATATTTATAAGAATCTAATAATTTATAATCATTCCTCTTTGTTCTTGAAAGTCAATTTGTATAAAATGTAGATGCCAACTTTTAAAAATACTTCAAATATTAAATATTAACAATCTTAAGATTAATGAGTTAAGATAGTAATACATTCTAGATTCTATCAAAAGATCAATGGTTATTTAAATTACTCATAAAAGCACTCAATGATAATAATTAAACATTTACTTCTAATAATTAAGTTATGATTAATTGCCATTATGATTATCTTGTGATTAATGAAATCACAGAGTATTGTGTTACTTTTAATTAACATTTTCAACCAATTTTCAGACAAAAAACTTAATTGACATATTAAGCTTTAGAAACTATATATTCTATACTACCTAACAAATAAGCGATTAATGAAATTAAATAATACTTTGTTAAACTATTAGAAAATATAGATAAATATCAACCATTACTATTAAAAAGATATTTGAAACCTCTTTATTAATCAGTTAATGAAATAGTAACTCAATTAACTAATTTGACTTTATCATTGAATGATCTTATTAAGAATAATCAAGTCTTTCATAATAACTTCATCAATTTCTTATAATTTTTAATAAACGATCTTGCAGTATTTTAGGATTATTTAACAACTAAAAAAGAGGTAATTGATGATACTTTATTAATAATTGGAACTGAAGCTACTTATGATGGTTGTGTTGTTACAACTGTTTATTTAAATACTTATTAAAATAATTCTAGATGTAAAATTGTTTTAAAACCATAACTTACCTTATTAGAATTTGAAAAACATGTTGAGTAAGGTCTATAAATTACAAGTCCTCTCTTATATTTAGTAATTAATTAGAATCATCCTAATAAAATACCTTATGATGATTTTTCCATCATTGATGAATTATGTTTTAGAAAATTCAAAGAACTTGCTGATTAATTTATAGATACATAATTTGGAAGTGTTAAAGTTTCTTAAGAAGTCATTGCTGTAGAACTCTTTAGATTAAAAATGGAAGATTATTCCATGAAAAAAATTTATGAAATCTTAAACAAAGGTTCATCATATATTGAATTCAAATAAATTCAAGACAATCAAATGTTATGGTTTTTAGAAAATAATTCAGGTAATTATAATTTATTGAACTTTTTAGACACTAAAGATAAAGGATAATAATTGCAATAAATATTTCAACTTACCAAACTCCCATATACATATATTGAAAATCTTTTTGATGTATTTTTAATCCTAATATTATAAATAGTCTATCAATCAATTTTTTGATAAAAATAATCTATAACAGTAATATAGATAAATATCTCAAGTTAATTTTGTAGATTATTTGACAGATATGAAAGTTCCATTTTTATTAGCCAAAAAAATTGCCTCCTTTCTTGCTAGAAATGGATTAGCAAATCCTGTTGATTTTTAAGATTTTATATGCTTTGTATCCATCTTTTATCAGTAGAGGTAAATTTTATAAATCTATTACTTTTTTAAGTTTTAATGAAACCATTATCATGAAGTTTACTTACCTTTTATATGCAAACAAACAAGGAATCTTTGGTTAAGATTAATTATGTGATTATTTAGAAACCATTTTTGTAATTAATTTATCATTAACATTATTAGGTTATTTAAGAATAGAATATTAATGTATAATAAATTAATGAATGGGGTTCAAGTTTATTTAAAAAAATTGATTAAAATTAAGATGGCCATATTTCATTTTATGAATACCATGCTCTATTAAAAGAAGAATAATATAGAGCTAAATTATTAGATCCAATCTGTGCTCTATTTACAAATTTACCATTTCAAAATACAACTAATCGTTTCTTTTTTGGAACACCTTAAAAATTGTTTAGAAGTTGAAAAATAATAATTTTAATCAACAACAATCATATTTTTATTTTTTAATTTATTTTTTTTCAAGCTCTCTACTATTTTCTACCTTAAAAAGCTCTCTTACATTAATTTAAAATTTATTATTTTTAAATCACAATATATTAATAAATATAAACATAATATTTTAAATCTAAAAAATAACCATTTTATAATCTTTATTTTTTACCATTCTTTTAATAATAACTTATGGATATAAAAATATTAAATCTTAATCAAAGGCTTTTTATTACAATCGAGATTTTCAACTCTAAAATTATATTTTTAATTATCATATTATTAATTACTTCTATCTAAATTTATTAACTAATCAAATAATCATTTTATTGAGTAAAAATCAAAAACAATCAACATTTACTATTTGAAGTAAATGATTATAATTAATTTGATAAAATTAAAAAAAACAATATAAGACAATTAATTAAATAAATATTGTAAATCTGCTGTTACTTGATAAAAGCTAATGGGTTTAGTCAATCATAATTGAATTGTGAAATTAACTAATCGTTTTCTCTAAAATCATTTTCAATAGATAAATAGTGTGATAAAGCTATGTAAATATTTAAAAATTAAAAATACATGTAAATTAAATGATTTTGGAATTAAAAGGTTTAACAGAATAATTTAAATGACGAAACATCCAGAATTGAAATAAAATTTGAAGCTAAAAAGTATTTTAAAATGAAATAATTTCAATAATCATTATTCATTCTCATCTTTTATAACTTTTTATAGTCTTTAAATTATTTCTGATTCATTATAATTATAGTATGCATTTTTCTAAAATTATAAATCATAGGAATGTTGCATAAATGAACAAACATGATATCCACAAGCATAACCATTATTTTATTAACCTGAAAATTCATTTTTAGTTTATTTGCAATTTTCTAAATTCAATAATCTTGATAAAGTTTAAATTAAATTTTAATCAATTTGAAAAGATAATGAATCAAATAATTCTACTTAATTTTTTTCATAATCAAACAATAGAAATTACCAATGAGTATTGTGTTTATTTATAGGAAATCCAATTCTCTTATAAATAATTTTTAATTCAAAATTAATATCTTAAAATTAAAGTAATTCATCATTAAATAACTTTTTAGCTTTTTCATCATTATAATATGAACCAAAATTAGTAGTTAAACTAGTTGGTAAAAATAGAATTCTGCTAATTTATTATCTTTCATTCTAATTTTTTTTAAAATATTATTTTTCACTTAATAGATTAAGATATAAAACAAAACTATCAATAACACTACTTGTTAACCATCTACGATTATTTAATATTTATATATCTCTTTCATTTATTTATTAATTATATTTACACCATAATTTTATTGGTTGAAATTACTTTATTTAAAATTTTAAATTATTATTAATTATCTTTCCTCCTTCTTTAATAATTATTTTTCTTATTGGTTCTTAACTTTATGCTCTTAATCCTTATTTTGATGATGGTTAAATTTCAAAAATCTATCCATTTTTAAATTATCCTTAAAATTTGATAATTTTAGATTTTCCTAAATATTCTATTCCTTCACCTATTAATTGAAACTTTTTTTTTTATAAATCAATATTAAAAATTCCTTCTTAAATTTTAAATGTAGGATTTTTATTTTAATCAAAATCAACTGAATATAATTTACCTTTTATTTAAAACTAATTAGAGCTATTATTTATCACAAATAAACAATAAAATACTATATTTTCATATAAAATTAGAAAATTTTCACCTTTATTGTATTCGAAGAAATCAAAGTTATTATCATTAAACAATTATCGTATTTTTTCATTTTAATTTTTGGTATCCTTATCTGTCTTTTTTATTATTTCTCTGTTTTAATTAATATTTTAGCTATTTTAATCTACTTATTATTTATTATTTTATTATTCTTTTTAATGTTAATATGATTTTAGATTAATTTTATCATGATTCATTTATTCTATTTCATTTTTTTTTTATTCAAAATTATCATAACTCGGTTCCTTTAAAATTCGATTATTATTGAATAAATTTTTATCTAATTATTTTTGTAAATCTTGTTATTATTTCTAGGAATCATTATAGGAGTTATGATGTTAACTTTTATTCTATTCTGGTTTTATCTAATTTTGATTTGTACTTTCTTTTATTTAATTTTAATATAATTTAAAATTTTTAAGTTGTAAGTATAATTAATCTGTAATCATACTAGGTTATAATTTAGTTTGTAATTATTATTAATATGGATCCTCATATTAATGATTTTAATAGTTTTTTAATTTTCTACCATAATGATTGGTTGAATATTATCTTTAATTGGAAGATTTCCCTTCTTGTGATAAGTTATTATTTATAAAATGTCTTTATTAATTCCGATATAATTGCTCTTAATTTGATAAATGTTGAAACATATTGTTATTCATAACTAAGTTATTTAAAGTATAATGATTATTTTTATAATAAAATTTATTAATTTATGTTTAACTTTATTTACTAAAAAAATAAATCATTTGTATTTCTATTAACTGAATTTGTTTAAAATAATAAAATTTATAATATCTATTGATCTCTTTTGATATCCAAAATCAATTTCTAATAAAAAATAATAAGTATTTAAATTTTATATTTTTTTTATAAATTAGATGATATGTGATATTATAAATTAGTTTCCATAAATTTTATTTAATCAAATGAGAATATCAGCAGCTTTAAAACATTCTTACTCATTTAATTATAAATTCAAAAATTACTTCTATATATTATGTAAAATTATTAATTTCAAAATTAAAATCCTTTATAATTGAAGGAGGTTAATCAACTTCGAAAATTACAAATCAAGCTTGATGAACTCCAAAACAAAAAATATATAATTGTCTAATGTTGTAACTATGAATATAATTCATAATGTTATTATGATTTTTACTATAGTTCTATGTATATTTCATAATTTTAATCATTCTAAATTTATTTTTAAAATATATCTTAAAGAGTGAAAATTATAATTTTTAATATTTTCTGATCCTTTTAATGGTTGCTTATATTTATGTGATAATTTCTAATTATTTTATTTTTATTGCAAATAATCCTCATGTATATATTTTTGAGAATTTTATCTGTTATCTTATTTTAATTCTTCATCAACAGGAAATCACTGATGATTATGATTATTTTTGTTAAAGAATTTTATTTTAATCATAAAATGTAAACATTGCACACTCTATTTTCATAAATAGTAGTGTTAAAAATTAAATATATATTCTTAAATAACCAGAATATTTATGATAAACTCCAAAAATTGAAATTTAGATATAGAGTAAATTAATGAATTGTTGTAAATATATTAATTTAATTTTAAAGAAATATCATGTTGTATATCTTAATAGATATCATTGTATATAAACATCAAAAGGTTATCTTAATTTACAATCTAAAGTTGTAGTTAAAATGGTAGTTTCATTATAATTTGGATATTAGAAGGCAACATTCTTAACAATTTTGATAGGATCACTAAAGTCTTATATTTATTGTAAATTTTATTAAGCTGCAAGATATCTTTCAATACTAAATTAAAAATAATCTCCATTAGTTGAAAGAAGATATTTTTAATTCTGATTTATTTCTTAACAGAATTGATATTTTTTAGAGATGGACCAATCATTTATATAAAATATTGCACATTAATTTTTTTAGTTTCCAACAACATTTAATAAACCATGATGTTATACTAGAATATCTTTCAATACACTTCTTAAATCATAGTATTTGTAATTTGAAATAGATAATTTATATATCAACCTCCCAATACTAGGAATGTTAACATTTTATAGAATACTCTACCATTATTATTCTACTTTATATTGAGGCCATAAGAAATTTAAACTTATGGCAAATTCTTGATTCTTACTAAATAATTAATAATATTTATACATAGTGTGAGGAGTTAATAATTAAGGCACAATTCCTAAATGAATTGATACTATATTTTAATCCTTAATATAAATTGCATTTATTGTTAATGCCCTTATAACATCATTGAAATCCCAATCTAGATTTCTAACAATATATGGATTATCTTAATTTATCAATATACTAGTGCATCCCATTGATAAAGAATCATCAAAACCAAAATCATACATAAATTGTACATACAATATTATGCTTAATTACTAATATTTTATCATTACATTTCATCGATTTTACATTCCTAAGCAATATATTTCACAAATTCAATCATTTCCTTATCTGGATGAGTTTCAAATAGTCTCTAGTAATCATTTCAGTTTATTACTTTTAATTCATTTAAATGTTCCTAAGAAGGTTTATTTGTATCTATCCATAGTTAACAATATTTTCTTATCAAAGGAGCATACTTTGGAAAAAGTTAACAATATCTAAGATTCACAGGTAAGTTTAAATCCAAAAAATAGATCTCTCCTGGATTATATTAAACCATTATTATTTTAATATATAAATATTAACAATATGATTTAGATAACATAATAATAACTTTAATATATAGTATAATGTTGAAATATTTGTAAAATCTAATTATAACAATTAGGCGAACAATAAAAACTTATCACTATAGAAAGGTTTATTTTCTTAAAGTTAAAAGCAAAATTTAAAAAAAATTTTTTTTATTAAATTATTTAAAAATGAGATTTGATTGAAAATGTATTCTTATATGTATTTCGTTGGGAATATTATTTTATATTGAAATCATTATTCAATAATTTATCAAAATTATGAGAGGATTGTAATAATAATATATAATTCAATATCTAGTTTTAGTTTTAGCTTAAACATTATGAATATCAAAATTTTTAAATTAAATGCGATTTAAGAATATTTGAAATATTGAATTTCTTATATTAAGTTTAATATCATTAATGCTGAATTTATACAATAAGAAAGATAAAGATAAAGGTTGCTATAAGTATACTCTTATATTAATTAAGGAAATAATTTCTAATTTTGATAAATTTTTTTATGATAAATATGTAATTATCATGGTGTAAAGGTTTTCAAATAAGAAAATAAATAACTGTTAATTTGAATGTTAAAAACTTCATTTATAGCATATAAATAAAGTTTTAAATAGGATTCAAGAAAATTATTTTGTAAATAAATCAAGACTAGAAGAATGTTCACCAAAAAACAGCCAATAAGTATCATAAAGGAAAAATATATTTAATTAGAAGTTAAAATATAAAATCAACGAATAATTAATAATAAATTGATGATACTATCCATAAAGCTAATTCAACATAGAATTTTCTATTATTTCTTCCACTCTTTTTATTTGAATGAACATTACTTTTTCCTTATAATTTTATGGTTATTAAAAAATAATCTACTATTTAAACAGCATCAGATAAATTTTATGTCTTCTAAATATGCATAATTAAATAGATGTTTTATTGAAAATAAGCATTTCAATTACCTATTAAATTAGAAACAGATACTGCACATTTAATAAAGTATATTTACATCTTATCAATCAATTATCTCACTAATTTTATTTAACCAGAATCTAAAATGTTTTAGATTAAACTTATGCTGAATTAAACCTAAAAATTAAAGAATCTAATTCAATTCAATATCAAAAGAAGTTTAAGTATAAAATAAAATAAAATTCACCTTTTAATATTTAGAAACTGTTGTTAAAAAATACTCTTATAACAATCATTTAATTTTCAATGAGTCATTTTAATTTATTTTGGCTTTTTAAATGAAATCACCAAAATTTGATTTGATATTGATTTTTAATAGTAAATAGAGTAAATTTTGAAACATAAAGGTTTCTCAATAACATCTTATTTTTAATGAGAGCATATTATTTGAATCTTTATCATTGAGAGTAGATAAAATCCTTTTTAGGCTAATCAGAATGGAAGAATATTATTTAGTTTTATTTTAAAGAAATGCTTATTCATTTTTAACTATATAAACGATACCATCTTACAGGGATAGTGATAAGTTTGATTTGATTTGAATGATTATTTTTGAAAATATTTAAATACATTAAATAAATCCGATTTTTTTTCAAAAAGACAGAGTCGTAGTCTAAAAAAATGAATGATTATCAAAAGATTTCACCCTATACAGTTTGTCAATAATGAAAGCACTTTTGCTTTTAAATACTTCTTTATTTTTAATATTTAAATTTTATAAGATTTCACAATCCATCTAATTCATATTCTAACTCTATTGTGGAAATTATGCAATGTATAAATTGATTATCCAACTATATTACTTAATTATTCTTAACATAGCTAAATATATATTTTACTTACTATGTATAAATTTATCAATAAAATATATTCTAACAAGAAAATTTATTAGATCTTTAAAAACTATTTTGCATTGATTCTAAAAAGATTGGTTATGTGTTTGATTGTTATCAAATTTTTTTAATAAATATATATTATAAACTTTAGTTTTCGAAATTTCCAATTTCATTGAAATATATTTAAAATAAACACAATATTTTATCTAACAATTCTTTTTTATTGAGTTGCTCTACTTCTTCTAATGGTCCTAATTCATTGTTAAGAATTACATTACTTACATCAATTAAAATATATTATATAGTAATTATTTATCAATGATTTAAAAATAAAATTATTTACATTATATTTTTAATCTAAATAGTTAAAACTATAAATTTGATGTACAGAACTAATATCAGTATTTACTAATAATTAAATCATTCTCAAAGATTTTTTTACATCAAAATTAATAACCTTTTATAAATTTCTATCACTTTTAATTAATTATTAAAGCTTTAATTATATTATTTATTTATTATAATCAAATTTAAATAATTTACAAAATGTTTTTAATAATTGATTTTCATTTTGAAAACTTTGAAATACCCAATTAGCATTCTGAATTAATAAGATCATATTTTATTTATAGATTATATTTTTTTTTAAAGCTCTGCTTCTCTTTTAAGTTTTTATAAAATTTTGAGAGAAATTAACTATTTTTACAACATAAATTATTCAGTAGTGTTGTTTATAATCTATTATAATTGTTTGAGTTTATCATTCATCTTTAAATACTTTAGATTAGAAATGGCAATTAAAATTTTACTATTAGATATTGAATCGTAATTTCCATATATAAATATAAAATATTGAAATCACGATTTCTAGGGGCTTGAATCATATATTTATAGTCCTCCCTTGCTGGTTATGACTTTTACTATAGATTTAGATTATTCAATCAATTTGTAATGGCATCTCTTCGATTCGGGAAGTTATAAAGTTTTTTTTCTAATCGTAGTCTTTCTGAACTTCAAAATGATATTCTTAGCAGTCGCATAGTTAATACAAAGGAATAGTGAAGCCTATATTCAAATTTTAAGACAAACCTATTTTATTTTCCATTCTTTCTAAAACACCAGTTCAACTAGTTGCTTTTTCTTATCTTAAGGTACTTTCTTGTAAGGGCGTAACTTGAGAAGAGATTATTCACCTTATTTCATTAAAGATTTCCTTATTAAAAATTAATAAAAATATTAGATAATACTTGGCTGACTTTAATTTATAAAACATAATAAATCCTAGAAATTGTCATATTTTATCAAATAATTGTCTATATAAAATAAAAACATAATATCTTTTTTTATTAAATGAACATATGAAAATTCTTCTTATGAATTTAGGTAATTTAGACAAAAGTATATCATTCTAAATACGAATTCAAATAATCAAGCTCCTATTTAAGACATTTAGATAAAACTATTAATTTTCTTTTAAGATTAAATTTTTCATCGAAATCAAGTCTTTTAATACATCTTTGCGTGAATTCTCATTTTCCCCTAGCTTCAACTTGCTGTTTAGTTTAATGAAACAAGTTTAAGAGATTTAAATTTTTTTTCATTATTAATATATATTTTTTTTAATAATAAAAATAGAACTTTTCCAAATTTTTTTCGTTTACTTTGGAATTTTTATCTAGATTATCAAGTAAATGAAAACTTCTACTGATTTATTGTTTCAAAATGAGATTTATAAACTTGTAAACCATCTAAATTATAGTTTTAATATAATGATGAAATGATGTAATAATTACATCTATTTTTTATTATGAAATTCTGGCGATTATTTACTAAATTCTTGATACATCCAGAATTTGACAGACATTTTCAATAAATCTATATCACTAAAATATATGATTAATTTAGCAATTTCAAAAGAACACAATTTTGAAGAAGATTTAATTAATTGACTTTTTTATTTTTCCTTTCACATAGGACCTGAATTACTTTGATAATGAGATTTACAATCACATCCCTAATTTCTAATTTCCTCAATTTATTGTAGTTAGGATAGGTATATATCTTTATTCTTCTATTATTTATCTATTAATATCAAGTTACTCATCTTTAAATTGTTAAAATTTATTCGACCTTCATTAATAAAATTTAATATATTTTATATTAAGTTAAAAATTTTAGAGCCCAGATTTTCGAGTTTTGGCTTTTGATTATTGACATAGTTTCCTTCTAAGACTTAATTGTACTTTAATTCTGAAATTACAAATACTAATAGAGGGACAATTATATTAAAATTTTTACTATATTATTTAAAAAAATAAAATCGAATTCTTTTTTTATATTTATCCAATCAAAATTAAATCCTATTTACAAATGATATTATTTATATAAAGGAGTAAGTGTCTTCTTTTATGTTCTTAATACATAATCTTATTTTAAGGATTAAAAAATAGTTTAAATTGATTGGAAAAAATAATTTTAAAGTTAATCTCATAGCCTTTGTTATTTTATATAATGAAACAAGGATTTTGAAGGCAAATTTAAAACTTTACATATAAAATAAACACTTAAGAACAGTTTAATTACAGAGCAGAATAATTAAATAATAATTAAAAAAGTAATGTATTAATATCAAAAATAAGAGGAGAGTAATTAGATTAAAATAAATAGATTAATGATTAAAGACAATATAAAAAATAAAAATTGGTTTATTAGTTTATAATAAAATAAAAGTCAGGAAATAATATTGGAAGAAAACTTTTTGAAATATTGTTAAATGACCTAAGTAGAAGTCTATCTAGATTAGATTGATGGGNTTATCTAGATTATCAAGTAAATGAAAACTTCTACTGATTTATTGTTTCAAAATGAGATTTATAAACTTGTAAACCATCTAAATTATAGTTTTAATATAATGATGAAATGATGTAATAATTACATCTATTTTTTATTATGAAATTCTGGCGATTATTTACTAAATTCTTGATACATCCAGAATTTGACAGACATTTTCAATAAATCTATATCACTAAAATATATGATTAATTTAGCAATTTCAAAAGAACACAATTTTGAAGAAGATTTAATTAATTGACTTTTTTATTTTTCCTTTCACATAGGACCTGAATTACTTTGATAATGAGATTTACAATCACATCCCTAATTTCTAATTTCCTCAATTTATTGTAGTTAGGATAGGTATATATCTTTATTCTTCTATTATTTATCTATTAATATCAAGTTACTCATCTTTAAATTGTTAAAATTTATTCGACCTTCATTAATAAAATTTAATATATTTTATATTAAGTTAAAAATTTTAGAGCCCAGATTTTCGAGTTTTGGCTTTTGATTATTGACATAGTTTCCTTCTAAGACTTAATTGTACTTTAATTCTGAAATTACAAATACTAATAGAGGGACAATTATATTAAAATTTTTACTATATTATTTAAAAAAATAAAATCGAATTCTTTTTTTATATTTATCCAATCAAAATTAAATCCTATTTACAAATGATATTATTTATATAAAGGAGTAAGTGTCTTCTTTTATGTTCTTAATACATAATCTTATTTTAAGGATTAAAAAATAGTTTAAATTGATTGGAAAAAATAATTTTAAAGTTAATCTCATAGCCTTTGTTATTTTATATAATGAAACAAGGATTTTGAAGGCAAATTTAAAACTTTACATATAAAATAAACACTTAAGAACAGTTTAATTACAGAGCAGAATAATTAAATAATAATTAAAAAAGTAATGTATTAATATCAAAAATAAGAGGAGAGTAATTAGATTAAAATAAATAGATTAATGATTAAAGACAATATAAAAAATAAAAATTGGTTTATTAGTTTATAATAAAATAAAAGTCAGGAAATAATATTGGAAGAAAACTTTTTGAAATATTGTTAAATGACCTAAGTAGAAGTCTATCTAGATTAGATTGATGGGTAATTAAAACATAAGGCTAAAGGGAGATAGGTTTTAATTTATTTGATAGTAAAAGTAATAAATTATTTAATAAAGGATCAATAAAAGTATATAATAATATAAATAAAAAGAATGAATATCAAATAATGATGTTAATTTGTAGAGATAAAATAATGTGTATAGATGCTTTAATTATATATGTTTTTTATATTAAAATTTATATAAAAATAATAACGTCATAGATGCCAAAGAATTGAAAGTTTCTTTGAGAAATATAATTTGATTATAAAAAACAACATTCTTGATTATGAATATTTTATATTATTACTTACATTTGTTTAAGATGTCTTATTGTAATACTTACATTTAAGAGTTAGATCAATTTTCAACAATATATTAGTTGTATTGATAATTCAAGGAGTTCTGTTTGAATTGATTGAATTTCGCAGACACATAGGGTTATTAAGGATTGTAAATGATGATGTAATAATTTAGAATGAAAATTTTCTAAATTAACATATGTATTGGTTGAATGTTCTAGAATGAATTATATTTTGAAAATAATGTAAAATAAAAATTAAATGAATAAATTAGGATTGACTATTTTAAATTTGGAGTAAAAAATGAAAGTAATTATGAATATTTTTAAAGATTGTATAATGTGATAAATAATGAAAATTTTAAAAACATATAATTAGAGACAGATGAGAGATGGGAATGACAATTTTAAATGGGAAATTAAATTTTTCTTTAATAATAAATTTAAGGAGGTATTTTGATATCAAAATATTCATTTGTATTTAATTATTATTATGAGATAACATAAAAACAAATTAAAATCTAATGTAGATGATTAATAAGATAATTGTAGTATCAAGTTGCATTTAGATTGATATAGATTTAAACTATATTAAGTATTATGTAATTAGAAATAAAAGATACGAAGAAATATAATTAATCATTTTGTAGTATTAAATGTGAATATGAGTGTTGATTTAATGTAATATTTTTTAAAAAAAGAAATGATTACCTCTGAGATGAGTGCTGCATCCAACCAGATAAAAAGTAGAGCAGAGTAAGAAGGTGTTTATGAGGTTAGCTGTAATTTATTAACAAAAAAGTGTAAATATGTTTGGAGAGTTGAAGATGTAGAGAAACTGAACGAACAATATGATTGTTAATAGGGAAACTGGAAGTCGATAAGTACTTATTTAAATGGGCCAAGTCCATTAGAATGTATGATGAAATGGCAATCTCTACATCCAGAAAATGTAATATAATATTTTATTGATTTAAGACACTTTCAAGATAATTATGGTCTTAAGAGGAAGATGAATAATTAAAGGAATTAGTATAAAAGTATGGAAAGAAATGGAGTAAGATATGTACAGTCATGAATTGGAGAACTGGAAAACAAGTTCGAGAACGTTATTTAAATCAACTCTAGGGACATATTAATAATGAAAAATGGACTGAAGAAGAAGATAAAATTATATTAAGACTCTATAAAAAGTTTGGAACTAAGTGGAGTTATATATCAACTTTCTTAAAAGGTCGACCTGTAATATCCTTTTACTTATTATATAGGAAAATATGGTTAAGAATAGATTTTATGCTAATTTAAAAAGAAGATACTAATCAGATCTTGAAGAGTCAGATGAAGATGATCATTTAGAAGATTCTTAAGATTCATTAAATATTACAAAATATAAAAGGAAGAAGAAAAACAAAAAATATAAATTTATAAATAGCTCTATTAAAATAAAGAAATCTTAACTTAAGACATTAAAAACAGATGTTTATGAAAGGGTTACTCGATCAAAAGAGAAGAGAGAACCCTTAATAAATGTCAAATAAGAAAATTAAGATGTAGATGAACAAATAAATTAAGTTATTTAATAACCATTTATAAAGGAAGAACCTTTAGCTATTGAATAATAATAATAATAACAATAACAATAACAATAACAATCATAATCATAATAACATCCTTAAGAATTAATATATCAATAATCTGATTATTAATTATCATCTTTCTAAAAGTTTCTTATAGATTATGGATAGCTTGGAATAAACTAATAATAATAATTATTAGGAACATACTAATAATAATCATAATAATTGTGTAATTCCAATTAACTAGGTATCCAAGTGAATTAACAATTATGTCCAAGATGTTTGGGATGCTCAAATTAAATGGGATAATTGTATTCTTTAGAAGATATTAGTCATTTATTTAAAATGTTTTAATATTAAATGTTTATTCAATGTTAACCAAAACTAGAAATGACTAGTTAGTTTAACATGATGTAAAATCAAAGTTAACCAAATAAGCAATATAATAATAATTTTATATTGCAGTGACATTTGATTATTGGAATTCAAAAGGCCAATGAAAATGTTAAACATAATATATTAATCAAATAATTAAAAAATTAGTTGAAACATAATACAATATCATTCGTGTTTACCTTCTTTCATATCATAGGTTTGCATAAGTTTTATTTATGGTACTGGAAATTAAGTAAGTTTGGCTGCTTTTTCTTCATCTGTCATTCCTTATATAGAAGCTTAAACTGAAGCAATATTTTATTATCTCCATTTAGTATATTGTTTCTGCATTTCATTATATTCAGTCATAGCAGCAGATAGATATCTAAGGTGATTTTCATCTAAAATTATTGCTTTTTTTTTATTTGGATTCCTGAACTCTATTTTTCTTTCAAAAATTAGCTTTTTATCAATTTCAGGTGTTTTGACTTATTCTTCACAAATTACTAAATCTTTAATTGAACCATCAATTTTAAGTTTTTAGTCTAATTTCATTTTCATTCTTTAAATCAAAGGCAATTCTACACTATATGATTTAGTTAAGAATTTAGCTTTAGCTTACTCTATATTCATCATAAATCTAGAATATTTCAAATAAATATAATCACTCTAACTAAAAATAATAAATAAGTTACCATCAATTAAGTTTCTTCTTTTCTATTTTCATAATAACTTTATAATCTCTTTGGTTTAGTTATTTAGAAGTATTATTTATCAAATTAATTTTCATCTGTAATCTAAATTTTATTATTTCTATGTAAATGATGAATACGATAAATTAATAAACCAATATAAACACTTCTTACAGTCTTAGACCAATGCAAAAATAATTCATAACATTAGGCTTCAAATAAAAAATCAACAATAGCTTTTTTAAATTCTAAAGGAAATACTAAATAATTATTATAGATTAAATGTAGACTTTTTGCAATCACAAAAGCATTCTAACTTTAAGTCACTGCAATTCTTAGTCCACTTAAAAAGAAAGGATAATCAAAATTGGTTGGAATAGTTGAACATTATTGAATACATTAACTAATTAGATCCATTACTTAAACAACTCTATCACTTGAATAAATACTTTAAATTAATAATTAAATATGAATACTTAGTTTTATTGAACAAAATCATAATGATAACATTTAATGGTCCTCCATTAGTAACAACAGATGTTATTGCATTAATCATTGCATCAGGATATGAGTCTCTTATTTTTAATTCACATAAAAGTGCTTTTAAAATCTTTCTATACCCTGGGATATCTTTCCAAGGTATAATATCTTTTTAAAACTTCAATTGTATATGTAAACATAAAGCTTAGACAAAGAAAAAGAAAGTAGTATTTCTTTTAGTAATAATTCTACGCCATTCTTCATCTGATGTTAGTGTGACTGCATTGATATTTAAATTAGAAGGCAAATAATTATAGAAATAGCTTTGCCAATCAAATAAAACAGTAATTTATTCAGTTCTAAAATTCTCTGGTTCATCTAATTAATAATCAGTTCCACGCCATTCTGATAATTCTGGATCATTTGGATTTTAAAGTGCATTAACAAATGCCTCTCTAAATTCTGGAACTTTAAAAAAAGAACTTGCTAAGAATTTCTCAACAAATGCTTTCTCTTTTGAAGACATTGCTTTCAAACATATCTTCTATAATGCTATATTTAAAGTATTATAAAGAAACTATTAAAAATGACAACAGATTTAACTTTTAAATTTCAATTGTTTTTTATTTAATTGTTTACAATCATCGAAATATCCCATAGAACCTAAACTTAATTCACCTCTAGTACAAACAATCTATAATATTTCATAATATATTTCTCTTATATTTCCTTCTATTTTATCTACAAAATTCAAGAGATTTTCTGCTATTTTAATGAATATCTCTTATCCTTTCATTAAATCATCATAACTCTTATAATAGAATTGTCTTAATTATGAATCCTTATCACTTTTACTTACTGCTATCAACAATGATTCAGCTGTGTTTTATAACTCAGTCATTAATTATTGTTTTTATTAAGCATGATTATTAGATAATTTAAACATGATCTAACTCAATTTCTCAAACTAACTTACTACTTCGCCAATTTCCTTTATACTTTAATTAGCTAATATACCTGTTCCAATAGTGCATCCCTTTTCAGTTCTTAATCCAATCATCTATTATTTTATATAAAGTGGAATTTTAATAGAAAAGTCTGATTACATTTATCCAATCTTATTACCTCTTAACCACAATCCTTTTGTTATATTACATTTGTGAATACTATGATCAATCATTTATTCTTCTTAATTTTAAAGTAAATAATTCAATGCAATATTAGATTCAGCAAATAAGACTTGCTCTATAGCTTCAACATGAAAATTAAGCGACTTTACAGATTTTCTAGTAGGTGAATGATCTTCATTTGATTTGTTTATACTCCAAATACAAACTTATAATGAAGAACTTGAGATTTCATTAATAGGTAATTCTACAATTAATTTAGGCATTTCTGTACTCAACCATTATATTCTGAATAATTCATCTTGTATATTTGTATAAGATAAACTCCTTCCTCTCATATATGCAGGGTTATTAAATTTTTCTGAATTCTCTGATAAAAATTGCATCTTTCTTGTTACCAATCTTAGATTAAACAAATATTGTTTTTCTTGAATACATGTGTTCATCGTACATATTAAATCTTATGGATATATTTCTAATTAAAGAATTTATGCCATTATCATATTGAACGAGATTCTCCCTTTTCCTAATTGGTAATCAAAAAATTATGGTCCAGATATTATTTCATACAATGATATACGCAATTAAGAGAGTTCTTTGTCATCCTCAAACAGAATGAAAACCAAATACTTTTCTCTCAATTATATTTCACTTGCTTCTAATTACAATGTTATTTTCCTCTTCCACTATTATTATAACTTAGCAATCTTACACCATGCTTCCCTTCTAAGTCAAAATGCTTCGGAGTATCACATTTATAATACCCACCGATATCAATTTTAAGATGACATGATTTTGATGGATGACTCAATCTAATATTAGATAACTCACTATTGAATTTCATTGTTCCCTTTTGAAGTGTTTTCCCTATTTATTTTTGAGGAGATTTATTATGTTAAATTTAACTTGTACAATGACCCATTAAAATTTATTATTTAATTTAATTATGTTATTAACTTAGAATTCAAAATCAAATTTTTATGTTTCACTCATCTCAACTATTAAATCCAATTTACATAAATTGGGATAAGTTTAATTCCAATTAATTTTTAATTATAGAATTTAATATATTGAATTCAGTTAAAATAAAACCAAAAATGGTTCACAATATGATTCATATCCTAATCTAATATTCTTATTTCTAACTATTAGACTTAAAATTAAGTAACAAATAAAATTTTCAATTACTCATGTTTATTTTTAGAATTTAAACTTCTGTCTAATAATAGAGTAAAATAAATTACAATTTCCTAGACATTCTAAATATCATTAATCCGATCCAATTAACTATAATCTTCCTTTCCTTAGAATTTTACCATACTCATCAATCATTTATAAATAATATTATATATAATCATTGCTATTTAGTGACATCCATTTTTAAGAAATGAATACTTCTCGAATTAACTTCTTACCCAGCTAACTTTGATACAATCGTATAAGAAATTGCATCTTTGGCAGAAGCATAAGAACATCTTTTTGTCGAATTACATATTCTTTATTGCCTGATCACATTTTATCTGTAATACAGGATGATCGATTTTGCAGTTGCGTATTTTATCTATAATTTTTGAGCTGCCTTATATTAATATACAAATTCTTACATTTTTGATATTCAACCCTTAAATTAAGACTAATTCAGCTAAAAGTTTTCTAGTTTAAGAAGAACTCTTAATGTATGATCTTTTGCTTCTTTTGTAAGCATAATTCATTTGATTATTGAAAAAAATCTTGAAAAATTAAATACAGAATGATTTGAGAATGACTTTATATATAAGAATAAAATTCTCATGTCCGAATTTAAGAAAAGTCATAAAATCATATCAACATAATCCGTCGATTAAAAATAAAATGTATTTCAATATTTATACTTAATGTAATGTAGCATCGTTGAATATGAAAATTCTTAAAGTTTCTAATTAAAGTTTATAATTATATATATAAGGAAGATGAATTATTTAACTCCTAAATAATAAAAATGGAGATAAATAGGTCCTTGTATCACTGATTTCACATATGAAAATAATATAGATTGGCCTGTAACATCTTGTAAATGGGGACCGATTGTATAAGAAGCTAAAGAATACATTAGATAAAAGGTGTATTTTGCAATAAAAACAGATGGTATTTATGATGAAGTAACAAATATTTGGAAGTAAACACCTTGTCAATTAATTGTTGCAACTGTGGGTAATAACAAATAATAATTTAGATATTCCTTAAGTGAAATATTAAATTAATCATCAAGTCACTTTTGTGTATTAATAATTGCAATTTTATAAGAATCCTCATTTAAAGATACGTCAAATGATTGTACATCCAGGTGATGTTAACATAATAAAATGTAATACTACTTAGAAATTGATTGCTACTAAAAGTGATAATAGTAATGTATTGGTATGGGATGTTACAAAACATAAGACTTAATAGAATCCAAAAGATCCACATGCAGGTATTCCTGAAATATATTTAATGGGACATTCTTAATAAGGTCATTCAACAGCTTTAGATTGGTCATAAGAATATAAATTAGGTAGTGGTGGGAAAGATTGTAAAATATTATTATGGGACATCAATGATTATTAAACGAGGCTATCAACAAGTTCTATTTTTACAAGTAAAAGAGAATTAAGCAATATATGCGGCAATGATTCAATTAAATTAGATAAAAGAACTGTTTTAACTGGACATCAAGCAGAAGTTGTTGATATGTCATTCAACAAATTTTCAACAGATTAATTAGTTTCATGTTGTTAAAATAGATCAATTATATGTTGGGATCAAAGAATGGATGGAGGAAAATGTTGGAATCTAGATGAAGTACATAATAAAGATATTCATTGTGTCAGTTGGAGTTAATATGATGAAAATTATATTGCTAGTGGATCATTAGATGGAAGTGTACATATTATTGATATACGAAAACCTATTGGAATGAAAGATTATGTTAAAGAAGTAGATAATCTATCATAAGTTTATTCATTATAATTTGGACCTGATAGAAATCATTTGACTATTGGAAGTGAAGAATTATATTCTGTTAATTTCTAAAACAAAGAAACTACATTCTGTTATTTTGGCCATAAGTATATTTCTATTTTAATCATTATCAAGAGGCAGTATCAATGATTTTGATATCAATGAAAAAAGCCCTTGGACTTATCTAAGTACATGTCAAGAACACGAATATTTTGGAGGAGGATGCTTACATATCTATCGTTTATTAGATTTAGTATATTTAAATGAAGAAGAAGCATTTTTATAATTAAATAATTGAAATATAATATCTATTTCATTTAATCTATCAGCTTTTCTCTCTTATATATTATTCATATTTTAGAGACTAACATCACCTTATATAAATCATATTTCTTTACTCCAATTAGAAAATCTATTATTCTTTTATAAAGAATTCCTTAATAAATATATCGCTTATCCAAAATCTATTATTTATTTAGTAAACCTCCTTATATAACACATTTACAAAATATCCCTAATCAAGTTATTACAATTTTAATTACATTCATAATTTTCGATAATATTTTCAGATTGCCTAAGTAGAATTAATAATTATCAATTAAAATTATTTCATAAAGATACAAATTCCTTAATCATCTCTATTATAACAAAAAAATTAAATTATTAAATTAACTTTTATTTAATCAAAATAATTATGTTGATATGTAGTTCTATAATCCTAGCTCAAATTAAAGTTAAACAATCTAATTTAATTTAGATAAATCTAAATTTATTAAAATTGATAGCTTTTTGAAAAATTTAACATTATTTACACTAAGCAAAAATCTTGTAAAGATATTTCATGAGATAAGAAATGAATTTAATATTAAGACCAAAAGTTCTAGTTTATGATTGAACATCTATTTATTTAATTTTAATAAAAATACTATTGATGATGAATTTTTAGAATTTTATAGACATTAAAAATATTTTACCCTAATCTAATATTAATTTGGATTTCTGATATTTATTGAAAATAAAAATTATTTATTTACATTTATTCTAACTTGAATAATAAAAACATAAATTAACCTTACATTAAAGTATTAATTTAAAAAAAACCAATAAAAGTTAATATCCTATCTTAAGTATTTTATAATTTAAAATTATTAACACTCAAAAAAGTATTAATCTAATTGAAAAAAATATTTATCCTTTTGTATCTATGAATATGCTAACATATTTAAATAATTATTGATTAATCTATAATTTATTTTTGGTTATTTTAAATTAATTAATATAATAATAAAACTTGTTAATCCTTCATAATTAATTTATGACCGAATTATTTACATTTAATATATAAATAGATTTATTTTATTGGTATTTGTTTATGATGAGATTTTTTTAATTAAGAATCTTAATTGGCATCAGAATAGATTCAGATTTATAAAATACTTGTACTCTTAATGATTGCAAGAGTTCAATTTATTAATAATTGTCCATTAAAAGGAATTCTATAACTGAAATTATTAAAATGACATCATTAATTTGATATATAAATAAATATATATAATTATCAAAAGATTTCATCTAAATCAATTGGTTATTTGTAATGTGACCTTTATCGTTTTTAATATTTCCTTTTTTTTGAAAACTTTTAGGAAGAGATATTAAATTGAACTTTCTTTTTAGATGCATATTTAAAAAGGGTTAAGCAATTTTGATTTATTTATTTTAAGCATGATTTCTTAACTGGACAATCTAATGAGACACTTGATGATTAAGAACTCAAGTTGTATATAAATTATTCTTAGACTTGATTTACTATAATATCATCAGGATAATTTAATTTGTTTTGTTCAATATTAGTTTTTAAGCATTTAATACCTTCATGAATGGTAAGTATAGAAATTTCATCTTCTTATAAGTCTTAAGTAATTTCTAAGGTATATGAATGATTTTCGATAATTTAAATATGATTGATGGAACAGCCCATTTAAAAATGAGAAATAATTGGATTTTTTATAAAATATCATTTGATAAATTTCATTAAAAAGTTATTAATTGAGATATTTTTAGAATATTAGTTATAGTGAGAAATACTACACTTTTTGTTTATTTTTAATATATAAAATTTAAACAAAATATGAAAAATAAAGTAATCAGTTAAGATTAAGACTAAAACAAAATCTGTAAGGAAGGTTTAAATATTGAATGAAAATAAAAAGTCGTAACATATATGTATTAAAAATCTTTCTATTTGTTTATTATTAAAATTAGTATTTAATATATTTAATCATAATGTCCAATAAAACTGTATATCCTTGGTAAAAATATTCTGCTAACCCTTTAATTGTAAAAGATGATGTTGGAAAAGCAAAACCAAATACTTATCCAATTCCAAATTGTGCATTTGGTACTAGAACAGTTCCAGGAAAGGAAGAATCATTAGGAGAAGTACTATGTCATATGGAACATTTTGCTTCAATGGATATTAGACCAGAGAAAGATTTTAAAAAAACAAATATAATGAGTATTAAACGTAATTTGTGTACGGCTAAAGAATTCTAAGAATTCAGATAGTCACATGATATTAGATAAAAGGTTGTGTAAGGAAAACCAAAAATTACAGAAACTCCTAAATAGTAAGTATTCGGTAGAAAAAATCGGTATAAAATTCATTCTTATAACTAAGCACTCCATCACCAATAAAAAATGTTTTAGCATATGATTATGGTGCAGTAGCTGCAAAAAAATAAGCAGAAGCATATACATCTAGACCATCTACAGCTAAGAGTAGAATTTCAGTAGAAACTAAATCAAGTAAATTACTCAAGGAAACAATTAAGAAGAATCACTTAATGCAATCTTAACCAGAACAATTAAAAAAGCTATCTTAATTTGCTAATGTTTAAGCTAAAACTAAAACTAGATATTGAATTATTTATTATACATTATTCGTTATTACAATCCTCTCATAATTTTGATAAATTATTGAATATTCATTTCAATCTAAAATAATTTTTTATAGGAAATATATCTAAGAATACATTTACAACTGAATCTCATTATTAAATAACTTAATAAAAAAGATTTTATAAAATTTTGCTTAGGAAAATAAATCTGTCTATAAAAATAAATTTTTATTGTTCATCTATAAGAATGGCCAAATTTTCATATTATCTATTATATCAATTATTTTAGTTATGTAGCAAAATTCTCAAATTCATAAATCTTTTTTCAGAATAACAATTAATTAGATTAAATATTAATAATTATTGCACAAAGTTGAGAAAATTAAAGATTATATAACTCTTAATATGAATATGGAAATAATAATATGATCATTAATTATTTTTATTAAACAATTTTAGTAATACCAAATATTCATTCCTGTTTAAATCAAAATTATTCTATTCATATAATCTAATTAAAGATTGATATCAAATTCATATTTTTAAATTTTATTTGACAATATACCTGATAAAATGTATTTAAAATCCAGAAAAGGATTCTTACAATAACTATTCCTGTTCCCAATTCTCTTAATAATTTCAACAATTAATATGATTATTTTAAGTAGATTTATTATAAAAGGACCTTTATTAATTAGAAATAATAAAAATTTTCTTATTTTAAAATAATTTAGATTGCATTCAGCTATTATTTTTGAGGGATTTAACAAGTAAATTTTATGTTTCGATAGAACAAACTGAAATAGGTTTTTATTATAATCATAATAAGATTTTTGAATATTTACAATTTTAATAGAAATTAAATATTTTTTTCTTGTGATTTTTTGTTTTAAAAGAACTTTTGTTTCTAAATAATCAATTATGCTTGATTTACACTTATTGCTTCATTATTTTAATGAGATATATCTCAAAAAAATTTTAGAATTTTCTTTAATATTAATAGAGTTATTCTACATTATAATTAAAAGAATAATTGTTACATTATTTTGCCTATTTGCTTGTTGTAAAAAAAGAAAAGAGCTTGCATTCCATTTTCTTAATCAAAATTATATATTAACAATAACATAATCACTTTTAAATTGATAATCAGAGTCCACCTTTTGTTTCAATAAGTAATTCTATTTAGGTTCCTTTTTTAACATTTTATTGATCAAATGTCTTATTAGGGAAAAGCTGTTATCCTTAATATTTTAGAATAATTTTCTCTTATCCATTTGGTTGGAGCATTTCTTAAAATTCATTTATTAACTCTTAAACTTGTGTTGTAGGATCTATTTCTATATTATAAACTTTGTTTTTCTAAGCATATGTGATGATCACTGTAATTGATTAACTCATTGTCTAAGTTGTAAATCTTTTGTCTAAAAAATTAAATATATTTTTAATATAAAACAATAATAATTGAAAATGCTTAAAAAGCTCAATTTAATAGAAAAATGTTTTCGATAATCATAAGAACAGCCTATTTTAATCAAAAAATTAAATTAGAGCTAGATAATAAATGAAGTTTGTTTAAATTCTCATTTTTTTTTATTTTAAGTAAATATGTTGATAGTAATAATTTAAAGTTAAAACTTAGAGTATAAACTCTGTTTTGAGTCTTAATTTGATTTTTGAATAAATTTCTTAGCTGTTGATTAAATTATTCTCTTTTACTTGATAATAATTTATATATGATTTAATATAATAGGCTATTTAATTAGAGAAAGTCACAACATTGATCATCTTTTTGATAATTTTAGATGAAAATTTCTTTGATTTTTTAATGATTGGTTATTTAAAATCTTAAATTTGCTATTTTATATATATGAGCCTTAAAATTTGGTAAAAATAAATTTTAAAAAATGAAAAATGCAGAATTTTAATTAATTTACTTTTAAATGATAATATTGAATGGATAGAGATTATAAGGTCTTATTCTATCTATAGATGAGAGAGAATTATATTTAATATAGAATGTAGAAATAATTTAATAATAAGAATTGAATAATTAATGAATTGATTTTAAAAGCTGTAAAATAATTATTATTATATGTAAAGAAGAGTGTGATATTAATCTTTGTAAAATTGATAATTTAAATTTAATTAGAAATAGTGTAATATATAAAAAAGGGTTGTCAACACAAGGACTTCCCAAGCGGTCCCCCACCTTAGTACTAACCTTGCCTTAAGCCGCTTAACTTCGGAGTTCGAATGGGATCCGGTGCTTTAGGCTTAGTATGGCCGACAACGATATTTTATTTGTATTCTATTATTTATAGATTTGGATATTAGTATTATAAATATAATAATTATATGAATAAACTTCAATATCTAAATCTTTATGGTATACTGAGATCAGGAAAGAATTATTAAATAGGAGTAATGATATCATGTTCAAATATAAAATCATTATGAGTCATGTCTGGCCTAATTTTTATTTAAGATTTAATTTTCACTTTATTAGGCAATCTAAAAAATAGAATAAAATAAAACTGGTCAAATAATGTTTCTGTATGTGATTTATCAATGATATCATCTTGTGCTCCATGTATTAATAACATTGGAGATTTAGCAAATTAAGCACGTTATAAATTATCAAATTTTTAAGGTATTAAATTTGCTATCCATTCAAAGGTTTTTTATTTAGCAACATCTTTAATAGAAGTAAATGGACTAAGTACAATCACTGCTCTGGATTATCTTAAACTATTTATATAAAAAGCAGGACCAGTTCCTATTGATCTGAATTTAAATTTAATATTTATACCTTCCAAAAACAATGATTTGATTATTTTTAAGTTTATACTTATCTTGAATATGATCAAACAATTAAATTGCATCTTATTCTACAATTTAATCATGTGCATTAACATTTTAATAGATTCCATAACCTGGATATTCTGATATGATGGCGTTGAATTTACAATATTATTAGATCTCATAAATAAATTGTTAAGCATAATTTCTATAGAATAAAAATATACTGTTTACATATCTTCATCTTTAGCATGAAAGTATATCAAATATACATCTGAATTACAAAATGGATGTTCCATAATTAAATATGGAGCATCTCTTACATGTTTTCCTCCATAATGTATTTTTGCGTAATCTATACAATTTAAATAATCTTTATTTGAATACATCGGATTAGGTGCCGAAAACATCACTTTTAATACCAAACTTTCCATCATTATTATTATATAATTAATGTAATTTATAAAATCATTCATTTTGTTTAATGATATTCAATATATAATAGATATAAAAACATGATTCTCTATTGATTATATTTAATAAATTCATTATAATTTTTTAAAAAGATAGTAACACAATGATTTTATATCATATTTTTACAAATATTCACTGTTCACCCATCGATTTTTTGGAATGATACCTAATTAATTATGTTTATTAATACCATTGGGTCTTTTCTGCCATAATAAATAATACATTTTAATGCCTGTTTATTTGATCTATGCAGCTTATCCTATTTTATCTAATTAATCACCATATTCAAATCCTCCTTCATTTGGTAACTTAACCTCAGTATTCTTTTGAGATAATTCAGAAATAGAATCCTAAATATTCTCAGAATCCTGTTATTAATTTGAATAATGAACTTTCTTTTCTTAATGTAACAACATTTATAATATCTCTTCCTATTGTTTTTATACTTATTATAATTCTTGTTTTAGTTAACTAAATTAATCTGTAAGTTTTTTAATTTATTCTTATTATTATTGCAATACAGTTTATTTCTGTTAACTTGGTACACCAATGAAATCTTCCAGCAAAGGTGGTTCATCATTTTCAATTTAATAAAAATTGGATCCTAAATTTTTGACATTCTATTGATATTCACATAAATATTATGTTATATTGGGAATCTTCTCAGGCTTTTCCCATGTACAATCTCTAAGATTATATCCTTACCATTTAACAAGATAGTATTTTTATCCATTATATTATTTATAATCGAGAATCTATTCTATAAAATATAGATCTTTTTTCTTTTTAGACATTCGTTCCCTTTTTTTAAATTAAATTATAATTCTAATTTATTTTTTTATTAAATTATACATGTCCATTTTATTGTAACTCAATCATTTATTTGACTATCTCTCTCTATAACAACTTTTAATATTATATATTTAATACTATAAATATAATTAAATAGCATCATAATGAGATTATAATCAAATAATCATTAATTTCTTGATTAAATATTAGGTAACTAAAAACTATTCTTATCTTTCTTCATTTGCATATATTCATCAATCTCTAAAGTCATCTCTTCAGATTTCAATTTATATCCTTCAAAATCATCATCATTAAACATTAAGCACTTCTAAGATTACCTTTAGATTTATGGTAAAATGCTTTTCTCTCTAATCAAATTATCCATATGATCAGATATTGACAATCCTCTTAATTCCTTAGGCTTATTCACCTTTTTAGCATTATTCTTTGGACTAAAATAATATAATTATATACTGACACATTGGTGATAACATCTTAAATCTTCTTTTTTTAAATTGCCACTACACCTATAATCTTGCATTGATTATTCTACGAAGTTACAGAACTAGGAGATTACTGTAAATAATTGTTATATATGTTCTTTGAAAATACTATCTTTTTCTTTACAGCCTTCAAAGGTGAAGAATTAAAGGCATTTCTAAGCATATTATCTCTCTCCAAGTATTCATCATACATCAATTCCTAAACTATCTATTGAACAGACTTATTTGAAAATTTGTGAAGCAATGAATGAGACATTTTTTATTATTTTTATATACAAATCCTTTAAATTATAAAATTTTTCACAATTTCTCTTTATTTATTATCTTTAGTACATTGTTTATGTTGTAATTAACTTTATAATGTTCATATTCCCATAATTTATCAATATCAATTATTGAATCAAAATCTTAAAACCCAGCTTAATTACTTCCATGATGTTTTATTTATGCATCTGGAACTTACAAATGCTTAATCAAGGTACTGTCAGATATCATATCAATTTATAATATATCTTTATGAATTTGAGTGATAGAAATCTATTTTCCAATTTAATCAAAAAGAGGTTATTAATTTTATACGCTTTATTTACTTTATTTACTCTATTTACTTTATTTATCACTAGAATAATCTGAAAATGCTTCAAAACTATCTGAACTTATATCGACAATATAATTGTTGCTTGTTCCTTAATTTGTAATCTATTTTTTATATATTAATTACTTATTAATAAATACCTGCTCTCCCTTTTGTGCTTTTTCTTCTAACAAATATCTCACATCTCTCTTAATATGTCTAATCATATTTATATCTTCTCTTAATATTTAAACATTCACAATTAAAAGTTGGATGAAATTAATTGCAAAAATAACATTTCATATTCAATTCTTTAGTATTATTATTGAATATAACATCATCTTTTACCAATTAGTATTTTTCCTAAACATGATACTAATCTTATTTATTACTTTTTCAATGATTTTTGATAAACAATTATGGAATTCCTGCTAATTAATATAAAAATACAAAATCTCATTTTTGTCGAACTATTTTAATCTAATTTTTCTTTAGGATTGAGAATTCATCATTTCAATCAAACATAAATTCATAATCTTCCTATTGTCAAAATGAAGATTGAATCCCATACATTCAATGTTTAATTTTCCAGCAAGAATAATAAATAATCCATCTATCTCACTTGAAAATTGCTTTATATAATAAATTTAATTACTTATTACTTACAATTCTGGCCTAATACTCCTTTTAAACTGATTTCTTTTATAACTGCTTAAGAAACAAAATTCAAATGTTTAAGTTCCTATTTTATCAACTTCATTTTTATATAATCTATCAAACTTTTTTTCTTTGTATCTTCTTCGACACTTAATTCATTTTCTACTTTTATAAAAAGTTATGAATAATGATATAAAACAAACTTAACTTTTAATTCTAACATACTCGATTTCATGAATAATTTATAAGTATTTAAAGTTATTTCATGTTTTTAGAGGTTTTATTGAGATTATAAATAAATTTTAAATACTAAAAAAATTAAGATTATGTTAGAAATTAAATGTATGATTATTAATAATTGATCCTTTTTTTCTATTTGATTAGTCTTAAAAAACAGTACAAGAAATGATTTATAGAAGAATTCTGAGTATTTAAAATCTTCTAAGTTTATTTATTTTAATTCTACTCCCCAAATACAAGCGAAGTAATGTACTTAAAATAATAATACAATGATCATTTTTATAATTTAAATTTACCTAAAATATAAATAAATGTGTTACTAAAAATTAATAAATAGGATTAAACTTAGCATTTTTTAAATAATTTAAAAATTTCTTAAGAATAAAAGGAAGTTTAAAATAGTAAAGACAAAAATATTGGTTATTTTAAGGTATATTATGTAATTTATTAAGATTGCAATTCTTAATAATTAAATCGAGAATGGTTTCTATTTTAGAAATTGATTAAGTAATTTGATAAATTGAATGAACAGTTCTAAAATGAATAGAAACAGAAGAATTGGTAAATATAATGAGTCTGATTTTCTAGATTAATAATAAACAGATTACTTGAAATTTTCAAAGTAAAAGTAAGGTAAATAGAAAGTCAAAATAAGGATTGAAAAGCTTATAATATTGGATGAAATAATTTTTGAATACCAAAATTTTTCATACTGAAAAAAAAGAGATTTTTTGGTTTGTTTCTAAGCGTAATTGTGATATAAACTAAGTTTTTCTAATTTTTTGGGAATATGAGTGTTCTCAGTTTGAGAATCACTAAATTTACTAATTGATGTATGATTATTGTTATCAGGTTGGATGCACATTGGGATAGAGTTTTAATTTCTGGAAGAAAAGGAGGGCCAACAGACAGAAACATCGTTAGAAGGATATTTTAATGGTTTGTTCATCTCTAGTTCAATACTATTTCGCATTTCTTGAATTTTAGAAATTAATGAAATACTTTTGAAGATTTTCTTGCAAATTTCTAAAATAAAAATAAATAATAATTCTCAATAGTTTTATTTCATATTTAGATGAATCTTTACAATAAGTTTATAACAGTTATTGTTTCAACATTTTAATAAATAAAATAATAAAATGCATGATATTCGAGCTTCAACTTATGGTAATTAGAACAATAAGACAACATCTGTAATTCCTTTATCTGAATTTAGAAGGATGAGAAATAACAGTTGTGAAATCTAAGATAATAATACCATGAATGAGAAATAAGAATTGTAATACTAAATATATTAATAATAAGACATGCTAAATCATAAGAGAGAATCAAAAAATGGCCTTGTGCAATGAATATAAGAAGAAGGAAAAATTAATCATAATTTGAGAGATTTGCAGAAGATGAAGAAGAACGAAGAAGAATTGAAAAAGAAGAGGATGAATACTAATAGAAATAAAAATAAGCTGTATTATTAAGAGCAAATAGATTAATTTATGAGAATAATCCTGTTATAAGATAATTTTAATAGAAATTGTTGTTTTCAGATGTTTTACAAGAAAGAGATTCTTAACTACAATTAAATGAATACAAAAAAACTATCAACAAGTAAACTTATCATTTAATATTTAAAGTGTAAAAGAAAAGATTCATTAAGAAGAACAGTTAGAGATGATGGTTAATTTTGATTAAGCATAATAATTAAAAGAGGAATTATTAAAACGCAAAAAACAAGAATAAAAAATTGTACTCAAATAATAACATGATGAAATGATAAATAATCATATTAAACAAATTTAAAATGAAAAAATTGAAGGTTAATTAAATAAAGCAAAAGCTTTGAAATTAATTTAAGAGGAAGAGGAAGCTGAAAAAGAAAGAAAAAGAAAAAGATATGAAAATATGTTGGAAATTAAGAAGGGTAATGAAGAAATTAAAGAGTTTAAATTATAATAATTATAAAAAGAGAAAGAATAGGATGAATAAATTAAGTTATATGCAGAAAAAAAAGATAGGATATTACAAATGAGAAAATAAAGAGAAGAATTTAAATTTAGAGAAAAATAAGAATAAAGATAAAAGTTAATTGATACCTAAATTTTAATTCTAATGAAAAAAGAGGCTGAACAATAATCTTTGATTCATAAATAAATTAAAGAAGTAGAATAAAAGGATGAAGAAGCAGAAAGATAGAAGTAGATTAAATAAGAAGTTTAAAAGAAAAAGATTGAAGAAAGCCGAAATATTATTAAAGAATTTAAACTTAAAGATAAAATGATTAAGGATTAAAATGATTAAGAATTTCAATAATATTGGAAATTAAGAGGGGAAGAATTGAAAAAGTTAGAACAAGAAGATTTAAATAATTAAAGAAAACGAAATTAATCTGTTAAAGAATATTAATTATAACAAATTGAATTTAAATAAGTAATATCTTAAATATATTTATAGAAAATAAAAGAATAATAAATACTTTAAGATCTTTAAGATGATGAGTAGTTGAAAAGATAAAGAATTATTGAAAATAAGACATTTTTCACTTGGGCCGAAAGAGCAGTTAAAGAATGGGCTGATTAAGGAAAAAATATTCGACCTTTAATCAAAGAATTGGCTAAAATAAAAGATGTTTGAAAATTTTGAACTTCGATTCGATTACTCTAATTTTTATAAAAATTAAACTTCTCTAAACTTAAAATATATATCTTTTTATTTAATAGTTTTAAACAAATCAAAAAGAATAAAAAAATGGGTGCCTCATCAGAAACCAATTAATTTTAGATGAAATATTCTGCTTTAGTTTTTGTATATAAAATAACTATAATAATATATATTTTATTTTTAAAATTAAAAATTGATTTTTTAAAAATAACAATTTTATTTAAAATATTGCATCTACAACTAATATTTCTATTAATAAAATGAATTAAAAATAGAACTTAACGATTATATTATTTTTTAAAGATTTAAGTACTATAAAGTTCTTAAGTTTATTGAATATTGAGATTATGAACAGATGATAACAGAAATATTGCATTCTTAAATCAATAATAGATTATTTTTCAAATAATTAAATATTAATTAAACCTTAAATGAACTTTTTACAAGGAGACATAAAAGATGATAAAGAAATATCTTTAGTTGTTTAATATTAATAGCAAAACAAAAATTTTACATTACAAGTACCTAAAAACATAGTTGTTGGAGAAATAGTGCAAGAACTTTCATAATTAATTGAGAAATCTCCATTGACTATGTCTTTATATAAAGAAAAATAACTTTTAAATGTGCAAAAATCCCTTTCAACCTATGATATTACAGATAAAGGAACAGTTCTTTCTTTACAAGTTTAATCTAAGGGTGGATTTATAATAAATTGAGTATTTTTTAAATAATAATTCTACTTAATTTTTATCATAAGTAAGAAATAAATGGTTTTAGAAATGGCAGATTATTGTTTATTAGAGGAGTATTAAGCGATATCTGAATTCTTTTTCACAGATAATTAAGTTTTAAAATTTTTCATGGAGTTAAATGATTGTTGATCTGAATTGGTATAAATAAAGATTGCTCATAAAAATTTATATATAAATTCTATTCTAGATAAACTTAACTAATCTTTGGAAGTAGAGAGACTGAGAACTCTAAAATTTTAGATAATTAATATTCATATATAATTTGATTTATTAATTAATTATATTATATGTAGTCCTCTCATCCCTCTCCAGTTGACAAAGATAAAAAAATTAAAATCATGGATGAATTAATTAAGACAAATTAAAAACATATTGATCATTTAAAGCAAACCATTACACAATTAAAAAAAGTATTAATAGAAATATTTACAATCTAGCAATTATAATTTGAATAGAAGAGAAACTTAGATCTAGAAAAGGATAATACAACCTTAAAGGATTAGATTAAAAAGCTTCTTTCAAAGCCTACGTTACATTCCCAATTCACATAAACATCACATGAAATTCATCGAAGAGATTCTAAGCAATAATCTATAAAAGAAGATCATCAACCTTTCAGTGCCTCAAAAAATACCCAAAAATCTGAAATTGATTAGACTTAGCCTAAATAACAAATAATTAATCAAGTTTCTCCTTTAAAGCAAGAAATCAAGAAAATCCCAAAACTAGATCTTAAAATAGATGTTAATTCAGCTCTTTAAAGACAATAGAGCGGACCTATTAGTAGTGTCAAAAAATCTTAAACTTATTTACATGGTTTAACCAACATTAAATTGATTGATGCCATTAAGGAAAGAATTCCAGAGAAATCTAATAGGATTGTAATATAATGATTTATAAATTTTAGGTTTAAGCTACTGGAGATAGGAATAGTTAAATGAGAAAGTCTTTGATGTTCAATTTTTAGAATAATAAATCAACTATTATTGATTGTGAAAATTCAGAAGATTAAGATATTCACAAAAGTAGAAATTCTGATGGAAAAAAATAATAGTTTATTGAATCTATTGAAGAATATAGAATGGAAACTATGGAAGTATCTGCCTTATAATAGCCTGCCTATAATTTGTATGAAAAATTTTATATCATGGGTTGTGAGAAGAAGGAATTTTTAGAATTTGATAATGATCCAAATATTAAAGAAGGTATTCTACCTGCTAATATTTTATTTAAAAGTGACTCGACAAAAACGTAAACTTCATTCACTTTATTAGACCTATTTATGAAGAGATTATTAATGGTTTTGTTTATCCATTTGGAAATCAAGTTGAAAAAATCAAAGTTAATGATTCATTTAGAAAATTAAAAGAGTATCTAAAATTCATTATTTCAGAATCATGTATTCAGGTAATAAATACGAATTATTGGACAAATTTTCCTTATTTACCATTAAAAATCAAGAAAATACTGATGATTTCTCAGAGCATATAAATTAATAATTATTGATTTAAGCAAACCCTGAAAAACTGCTCTATGGTATTTGTCTCTCTGTTTATGATTTTATTGAAACTACTCCTGATAATATTAAATTAACATTTGAAAATAGAAAAAAACGAATTTTTTGGAAATATAAAAAAACTTATTGTTTTCTAACTTATTTTCCCTTTTATGAATTATTCCAAGATTTATTAATTTCTATCATCAGTAATTTAGTACTAAAATTATTTTCTAGACTTAATTAAAATCAATAGAACTGATCGGTATTTAAAGAAATATTCAGAAGAATACGAAGTTCTTAAGGACGTTGATGGTTAGTAAATCATACTTGTATTTATTATTTTTTTTATTATTTTAGGAATTTTAAGATGAATTGACTAAATTCTTAAATTTAATTTAATCAATCAAACCCATGTTAGGCCATCAATAATTAGAAGTCTAAACATTAGCAGGTACACTTAAATATAGAATTCCTAATCAATTATAATTGGATATAGAATTAAGATTGTGGAGTGCCAATGTCACTTTATAAATTTTAAATTTCAAAGAAATCTTAACTATATTCTTGGCAATGATTTCTGAAATCTCAATTATTTTTGTTTGTGAAAAAGGCAATATCTTAACTTCAATTATGTATTAAATTTTACAATGATTAGCCATTTTTTTCATCATTTAGTTCGTCCATTAGAATGGACACATGGAATCATTTATAATGTACCTGAATAATTAACAACTATGATTCAATCCCCAGTTCCAATTATTATCGGAGTCAATCTTATAGAAAGTGATTTCAATACATTGGGTCTTTCTGAGAATTGTGAAAATCATTTGTTTGTATTTTTGGATCGCGATAAAGAAAATAAATTTCTTGCCAAACCTCCTAATCTAATGAAGGACATAGCCACTCCTTCATTTGGGGGTTTATTACATTTTATAGAGGGCATACTTAAAAATTAAACTAATTTACGTAATCCTAGGTAAAAATGGATAATTTTTATTAATTAGTCCAAGCATTAGACAAGCCTCAAATAAACATGAAGATAAAAAGATAATCAAGTTCTATTTTGATGATTAAGATTAAAGTAAAAGCAAATAAGTACTTGAAACCTTTAGAAAAATGATTAATGATTATATCATCTCTAAATTGCCATAATTAAATGAAGATGGTGTCAAAGTAAATAATTTAACATTTAAATTAGGATGGGGATGTTGCTAATTTGAAATTTATTGAACATTACTTAATCCAAGATTCTGATCCAAAGGATAAAAAGTTCATTTAAAATCTATTTAAGACTTAACATTTCTAATATTTTATTTAATAGCATTATTGTGATTAGGTTTGAATTAATATTATTTATGTTATTTAGACTTATTTTTTTTATTAATTAAATTAAGTATCATTTATTTTAAAAATGGATCTGGACGATCAAAAAGAATAATTATTACATTTAGAAACCCTTCAAAAAACCAAAAGAATTTAATAATTAAAGATATAAGATCTAGAATAGAATATAATTTAAAGCAATTAAACTATTGATTAGCTCTAAAAAATGTAGAAGGATTATGAATAGAAAATTAATTAATAAGATAACAAGATAAAAAAATTGAACAACAAGATTCTTAGATTAAAGAATATGAATAAATGCTTAAAGTAAAAGATTCTAAGATAAATGAATAATAACAATAGATTGAAGACCTAAATTAAGATTAAATATAATTACAATAAAAGGCAGAGTAGTGTGAGAATTAATAAGAAAAAATTGAGGAATTTTAGAAAAACATAGAATTACTATTATAAAGAATCTCTTGGTAAGTAACTAATTAAAGTTTAATTTAAATTACATAATCTATGATAAATTAATAACTCGGCCTTCCTGTAATGGCTAATGATACGACTTATATTTCAGGCTATTAAAATCAAAATGAAGGAAAAAATGCATCAAATTAAGAAATATTTGAAGCTTTTTACATAATCGGAGTTGAAAGAAACAATAGTAAATAATAAAAAGATAGATTGTTTAATCCTAAAATTTAATATAAATAGTATAAAAAAAAATTTGGAGATATTTAATATTAGGATGAGAAGAATCAAATTATTTCTATTGAAAATATTATCGAAAAATTTGCATGTCCAAGCTGGAGTGATGCAGAAAAAATAATCAATGACGATATTGAAGAAGAAGTATAGAGGTAGAATTATTTTAAATTTTAGAATAATTTGTTAAGGCAGAGTACCTTCTGAGAATTTTTATATGTTTAACATTAAAGGAGATGATTTGCAATTAAAGAATCCATCAAATATTAGGATTCTCCAATAATTTAATCATTCAAGATAATTATATGGTTATTGTTTAAAAGTAGATGATTTTTTGGTTGAGAGATTTTAGAGAAACAATTAAATTGAATAAATTTATTGGAAATTCTAAAAGATTCTTTGTTTTGTAACATACTTTCCAATCTAGGCTCTATTTAAAACATTATTCGAATAAATTCTTTGTAATAATAATTTTTATTCAATTTTAGTTATAACGAAAGTATAAAGATAAAAAATTATATCAGGAAAAAATGCAAACAAAAGTGAGATTGATGGAGTAAAAATAAACCAAGTATATTTTAAAATTTATAAAAGTTAATCTCAAAGTTATTAAGTGCATTCATTTTAACAGTTTCTTAGTATTCAATATCAAAATATGAATAGAAAATCGAAATCAATTTTGCTCAAGAATTGAAAGATTAAAATCTTGATTTAGAATTGAAGTAATTTTTTGAAAAAACAATAATTTAATACGTAGTTCCTAAAACAGAGGATTTATTTATTGAGACGAAAAAACTAGAAGCACATATAGTTCTTTAATTATTTTCGGTTGAATAATTTTTCAGTGTCTTTATGGAAATTTTAAAAGAAGGAAAAATTATCTTTTGTTGTTAGAATTAGAATTTATTAACTGCTATAACATCGTTTTTCCACACAATTTTATAACCATTTAAGTGGTTTCATCAAGTTATTTACAATTTACCAATAGAATCATTAGCCCTTTTAGAATTCAATTAGCCCATGCTATACGGAGTTAATATGCAACATTAACAATTAAAATTTAAAAGGAATATTATTGCAGCCAACAACATGTATGATATTACATTTGTGGATATCAATGAGAAACGCTCTGCACCATAATAATAAATTAATATTATAGAGAATAACTAAAAATCAAAGCTTAATTGGTTTGATTAAAGATAATAGCTTGCCAAATATTTTCAAAATTAAGGAGGCTAACTTAAATTAACACCTAATGATTATTAAGAAAGAAATGCAAAGGAGTTTCTATTGTAGATGTAAGATATCATTAAGGCAAATTTGATCGATAAAGTGATTCCAAAGAAAGAAAATGATTTTGTTTTAAATCAAAGTTAAAAATTGAATGATCGCTTTATCTATAATCGTGTTATACAAAAAATTTAGAAAGAAATTGATGATAAAAATGATTAGACTTTTATCCAGAAATATGTTATGCATGCAATTTATTTTACGGAGTATCTAAGATTTAGATACGTATATGGGTGAAATATATTTAGAAATAATTTATAAATATATAAATTAATTAATAATGAGTTAAGAAAAAGATTTCTAATATGATATCCATGATGTCTAAAATATCAAGACTGCTTTCTTAGATTTACATTAGTAGGAGAGCACAGGGTTCAAATTGGGATTTGGAACAGCAATTTTATCTTATTTCGTTTTTAGAAGATTCACATACTTAAGAACAGGACCTAGGTATTTTTTAAATCGAAAACAATAGATTCATAGGATCAATGATATTGGGTTCATAAATCTATGGATTTTACACTCATAAATCAAGAGCCTATTATGACTATGTTGCTTAATAAGTAAATTTGCATGCATCAGAAGCAATAAACCAATGTTTAGGGCATTGATCTATATAATAATAATAATATAACACATAACAAAATATATTATATGTTGGAAATCATAATAAAAATTCAAAATCTGAATTTTTAACTCCATCCCCAAAATAAGCATATCCAAATGTATAGTCATTATTATAACTTAAAAATCCAGGCCATATTAAATTTCTAATTGTAATCTAAATGATGTATTTAAATTGCATATTACATTTCTTTTAGTTGAATCTGTCTAAACTGACCATTAATTATTTGGGCTATCGTCAACTAAAGAATCTAAAAAATCAGGTCTGTAGAGTGCTTCATCTCGAGCTATTGATAAATCAATATTTAAAACCTATCAGATCTTGCTTATCCTTCCTTATTGGTGATCTAAAGTGTTAATAATTCTTCAATTCTGCAGTGACTCCTTTAAATGAAGTTTTTATTAATTCATGAGTTGGGGTTAATCTATATGATCCAACTGGAATTGAGGCACATTGAAATTCAATTGATTACACTACATATGATAATCTTTCTAATTCTGAGAAATTTTTAGCTGGCAGTTACGATGGGATTTCAAGAGAGTCTTCAAAATTAATTTCTTCATCTGTTCTAAAGACTATATGTTCATGTTATCCAGTAAATGACTCTCTCAATGTTTCAGCTCTTTGGGCAAATTCTTCATTATATTTAGGTAATTCAGCAAAATGATAATTATTAGAACTTATTAATTAATCTTTTCTAATTTTTACCTCCAAAAAAATTTCTTTAATGGAAATTCATACTATCCTCTATATTGAATTCCAAGAGCTATGTAATAATCTTTTTCTATTCCTTCCACTCTTCCCCAAAATAAAACTTCATCAAAAACATAATGTTCTTGAATTTTAAGTATTGCTAATTATAATCTCATTCTGTTTTTATAATAAATTTAGTACCTTTCCTCTAAATTAAGGGTCTAGCCTATCTGCTAAATAAATTTCAAATCATTAAATGAAATATTCATTATATATATTAATGATTAAATTAAAGGATTAATATTTTACAAATTCAATTGAAAAATAGGTAGAGAAGATATTTTCAAAAGAAAAGAATTGACAAATAACAACTCTCACTATGAGAAAACTACACAACATTTTATAGATTATAATCAACTTAATACTGTAGATGGTGGTATTGATTATTTTTTGGATTAGTAAATCAACATAAAGTTTTTGAATTGATATTAACATGACAGTTGAAAAAGCTTGAAATTGAATTCTTCTTTATTTCTAATTTAATGATAATTGCTCCTGAGATTGAAAAGGCAGAAGTATATCTAAAAATTCTGTGACAATTTTAGAACGAAGTTTAATGAATCATGAAGATGTGTACAACAATTAATTTTTTGTAGAGGCCTTTATAATCAATTGCCTACTTATCCAAATTATTTTGGAGAAAATAAAATTAAAAAAATTTTGAATATCAAAACATAATTAATTTATTTATTAAAAAAAACTATGACATCAAACTTAGAACCTCCTAATATCAGTCAGTCTAATGATTCAACTAAAATTAAAATCTGTCTTAACAAGGAGTGTAATTCTCCTTACAATTCAAACAATATTGATAAACATAAAAACCATCTTGATGATTTATTTGATGTAGATGATTTGGTGAATAAGTTGCATGGAAGAAATATTGAATATAAATAGCAACTAAGTACTCAACAAAAGAAAATATTGGAAGTTGTAAAAGAAAATGAGGAGGCCATTTTGGCGTTGAGAAAAAAAAATGCAGGAGAAATTTTACAAAAATTATCAACTCTAAGAAATCTCAAGGAATAATTTGGAAATCCATTAGTTGAAAGAAAAGATTTTCAGAATTATGACAATATATTTTTTAGTAAACAAATTATGAATGTTAGGTTCAAACCATTTAAGAAATTTTTAATTTTTAGAAGAGTCCTATAATAAAGAATTCATTGCAAAATTTTATAAATTAGCTGAGGCTAAAATTTTCAATAACACTGAATCAAATTGCCTTAAACATCCAAAAGAAAGAATTTCTGCATTTAATTTATAGGAGAAAGATCTTAAAGATCAATTATTATGTAAATATGATGATACAGAAAATGGAACAACATTCCAAGTGTGTCAACAGTAACTTGAGAATTATTCCTTATAAGAAAAGTATCTAGAATCATTAAACTTAGATATTTTGAAAAGTTACAATAGATAAAAAACTCAATCTTTTCTTTGCGGTACAATTTAGATTGTATAACTAATAAGATTTTAACTATGGTTTAGGGTTTGATTGAAAAAAATTACAAATATTTTCAAGAAAATTAATATGAATTTGATACACTTAATTAATTGTAACCACCAATTCCTAGATCGAAATATTAGAATCTTGTTTCGTTCTTAAAGAAAATTCATAAAAATGTGGCAATCAATAATTCATAGCAAGAAGAAATTAGAAATTGCGAGTAGGTTTTAGCTCCTTTATAATAAGAAGTTTAGAATANATTTTAGAACGAAGTTTAATGAATCATGAAGATGTGTACAACAATTAATTTTTTGTAGAGGCCTTTATAATCAATTGCCTACTTATCCAAATTATTTTGGAGAAAATAAAATTAAAAAAATTTTGAATATCAAAACATAATTAATTTATTTATTAAAAAAAACTATGACATCAAACTTAGAACCTCCTAATATCAGTCAGTCTAATGATTCAACTAAAATTAAAATCTGTCTTAACAAGGAGTGTAATTCTCCTTACAATTCAAACAATATTGATAAACATAAAAACCATCTTGATGATTTATTTGATGTAGATGATTTGGTGAATAAGTTGCATGGAAGAAATATTGAATATAAATAGCAACTAAGTACTCAACAAAAGAAAATATTGGAAGTTGTAAAAGAAAATGAGGAGGCCATTTTGGCGTTGAGAAAAAAAAATGCAGGAGAAATTTTACAAAAATTATCAACTCTAAGAAATCTCAAGGAATAATTTGGAAATCCATTAGTTGAAAGAAAAGATTTTCAGAATTATGACAATATATTTTTTAGTAAACAAATTATGAATGTTAGGTTCAAACCATTTAAGAAATTTTTAATTTTTAGAAGAGTCCTATAATAAAGAATTCATTGCAAAATTTTATAAATTAGCTGAGGCTAAAATTTTCAATAACACTGAATCAAATTGCCTTAAACATCCAAAAGAAAGAATTTCTGCATTTAATTTATAGGAGAAAGATCTTAAAGATCAATTATTATGTAAATATGATGATACAGAAAATGGAACAACATTCCAAGTGTGTCAACAGTAACTTGAGAATTATTCCTTATAAGAAAAGTATCTAGAATCATTAAACTTAGATATTTTGAAAAGTTACAATAGATAAAAAACTCAATCTTTTCTTTGCGGTACAATTTAGATTGTATAACTAATAAGATTTTAACTATGGTTTAGGGTTTGATTGAAAAAAATTACAAATATTTTCAAGAAAATTAATATGAATTTGATACACTTAATTAATTGTAACCACCAATTCCTAGATCGAAATATTAGAATCTTGTTTCGTTCTTAAAGAAAATTCATAAAAATGTGGCAATCAATAATTCATAGCAAGAAGAAATTAGAAATTGCGAGTAGGTTTTAGCTCCTTTATAATAAGAAGTTTAGAATATTCAAAAAAAACATGAAAATTTTTTGAATAATTTAAAGCCTTGCAAATTAAAAATAATTGTTGAAGTGAAGAAGAGCGAGACAACCGATGGCTATCATATAGAGGCTGAATAATAATCAACTTTATTAGGCTTATTCAAATGGTTGAAATAGACATTTAATTGGAAATACGAACTACCCTAAATTAAAGTCTCAGTTGACTAGATAAGGCATCAAAACTATAATTCACCTGAACAAATTATTTTAAAAAATGAACAATATATTTAATTTGATTTATCTTGAAAATTGATATATTAATTATTTTTTACATATGAAACTGGAAACCTATTGTTGAAAGCATCTTTATTAGATAAGGTTAATGAATCATTATTTAGATAAGATTATAATCAATGTTTCCTTTTAAAAAAAACAAAATTTTATTGGATTCAAAAATAGATAGAGATTGTAGGACTATTATTTTTGAAATACAAATAGAAAAGAATCAGAATCATCTAAAATAATATCTTTAAAAATTATAATTGCAAAGAAGGATATTATGATGATGATATTTAACTTGATTGTTAAAATTGCAGTGTTCGATGAAAACTATGCTTACAATCTTCAACTAATTGTTAAATTTTTTCTATAAATTTTAGAGAAAACTTGATTTTAGTAATAGAATCTCGAGAATCATATTCAAATATTGTAAAACAAATTAATATTACAATAGCATAATTTAACTTTTCAAATAGAAACATAAATAAATTACCTTATAAACAATAGATTACAATGTTGATAGAAATATTATTGAACCATTAATAAAAAAATATTGCAATTCGATTTCGAAATAATTATATTCCAACATTAAATCTAATTTAGGAGCTGAAGATTTAAATGATTAACTTTTAGTTTATTAAGTAGCAAGACTTTTAAGAGATTTATACTCAATAAATAAATCACGAAATCAAATAATAGATTTATGACCATGGTATATTAAGAAAGATGCTTTCAAAATTCTATGAAAAGTTTTTACATATAAAACTCCACATTTAATAATACTTCAACTGATACTGAAACTAATATCTGAATTATAATTAATTTAACTTGTTTCAAAAAAGTTAATTTAAAAATAAACTTAATTTAATAGTGAATTAAATTAGGATGATATCTTTTTAGATGAAAAATTATTTTAAAAAAAGGAGACAGTTGCATAATCCTTACCTATTTTATTAATCATGATTGATGATATTTTTGTTAAAATCTGATGAGGAGTCTAAAAAATTACCTACTTAGCTGAGGAATTTATCTAGCTAATCGAAAATATTGCTTTTTAAAATTTAATGATTAAATAGAGGTAGATGGTCCTACTTTTACAATTAATATTAAATATTAAATTTTTTATTAAGCAAACAAACTAAGGATAATTTTAATAATTATTTAATATAGATAAGGATCCATTAGATGGGTTAATAGATTTTGTTCAAAAATAATAAATAATTCTCAACTCAAAAAAATCTTGAAGAAAATTACTACATCCTTTTTCTAAGCAGTATTCAAAGAATGATTTATTGATAAATAATGTTTATGCGGAAAAACTAATTGAAAATCCATATATAAACCTTTCCTTTTTAGAAATATGTAGGAATGACATAATAATGGAAGCGTCTCCTATCACTTCTAAAACTACAGAATTATTGATTCCTGAAATAAAAAATTGAACAATATCTTTATTTTTGAATACAGAGTATTAAAGTTTATATTTATCGAAGCAATTATCATATGGTGAGTTATTCCTTTCCATTCCTTATCAAACTGTAAGAATTGTAGAATAAGCCAACAAACTATACCAACTTTAATGAATTAAACCGAATCACAAAAATGACAATTGTTTATATGCCTTTAAATTTAGAACTTTAAGATTTTTATTGGATGAATCTTATATTAATTTAATTTTTTGTTTCAATAAATTCTTATTAATTATATATTAAAGGGTGAAAAGTTTTCTTGTTAGTTTATGAATCTTTAATTTTCTTCTACTTTCTAGAGGATTAAAGAATTTCTAAATTGTAAAAGAGCTTCTTTTGCCATTTTACAAAGGAAACTCTCAAAATAGTTCAAATATTATTAGCAAGAGTATCAAAATAATATAATGCTCAATTACTTTTATAGCATATAGGTAAGTGAAAAGATGCAAGTGAATGTTGAGATTTAGAAATTAAAAAAACCAGAATAAAAGAGTTTTTTATGGTTCGATATTAAAAATTAAGGTCACCTTAATTGCATAAGCTTTAATAATTATAGTTCTTAAATTTTTCCCCTAAGGCCTATTTGATATATAAGAATTGATATTACAATTCAATTATAATATAATTTATAAATGGAGTTTAATAAATAAATTTAATTATGAAAATAAACAAAATAATAATTAAAAAATACAATGATTTTTGTGAACAAGTTAATAAAGACTGTTTATTAGTATCTTCTTATAAACTTAAAATCATTCACTAATCATGAAATAGCTTCAATAGATATGAGTTGTAATTAATGCAAAAGAAATTGTGATCTTATTTCTGGATGCAGTGTCATCATTTCAAAAAATATTAACTAAATTTTGTTCCAATCATGTGTTGAAGCTTTATAAGAACAACTTAAAGTAAATGCAGAATAGATGAGTCAAATTTTGCAAGAATACTAATAGATAAAAGCATTCTTTGTATCAAATAATTGAGTAGAATTAGTATCTAATTCAATTTTTATTAAAACAGGAAGAATTCTTAGCTTTGAGTATTTATAAATATATCCAATCATCTAAGATGAATAACTTGCGATAAGTTTAAAAGAAGATGATCACTTATTTATTTAATAAGATAATTTCTGTATTTAAAATATGATATTATAATTTGAATGGTACTTATTATTATGAATATTTAAAAAAATTAATATTGAACTTTCAGGAAATGAATAATTTTAATTGTAATACTACCTTTGTTTTTTACTATAAAATATTTTTGAATATCAATTCCTACATAAATATTGATTTTTAGCAAATCTTATTGATACATAAATGATTTTTGTATATTCACAGAAATTAAGTTAAGAATATTATCTAAATTTCTTATCTAACCTTACCCCTCCTTTTCATTCGAGCACATTCAAATATCATAACCAAATTAAGTTACTTATTTAATTAATCATTTAATGAAAAATGTATATATACTAAAGTATAATTTTTGTAGCAATAATTCTTTTAATTTTTTTAGACTTATCGTTAGTAATGTTAGTGATATGATTATATTTTCAAGTTTGATTATGTAATCCCAAAAATCCCTAATAATTATTTTGTGAATAATAAATGAGTTTGAATTATCTGAAGTTAAAAGAAAATCATAAGAAAATTATAATAAAATATTTATCAATTTATGTTATCTTAGTAAAGAACTTTTGATTATTTTTTCTATTTACAAACCAAAATTCAATTACTTAATCACGAAAACAATAGAATTAAAAGAATTGATTGCAATGATTTAAGAATGTAAGAGAATATTTATAATGTCTGGCTTTTTAAGATCTTATATTAGATATTAAAATAGGTTAGTAAAATATTTAGAATAAGTTTGATGTAAACTTATAAAAATATGTAATGAAAATTAATCTAGAAAATTCTTTTATTTTATCAGAAGAAACTTAAAATAAATTATAATCTGTTATCAAGATGAATGTTGCTGCTACGTATTCCATTGCAGGAATCTCAAGCATAGCTATTATTACTGAAAATACTATTATGTTTGTTAGCCTATCAGATTTATTATAATCATTGTCTTATTTAAGATATATGNCATGTGTTGAAGCTTTATAAGAACAACTTAAAGTAAATGCAGAATAGATGAGTCAAATTTTGCAAGAATACTAATAGATAAAAGCATTCTTTGTATCAAATAATTGAGTAGAATTAGTATCTAATTCAATTTTTATTAAAACAGGAAGAATTCTTAGCTTTGAGTATTTATAAATATATCCAATCATCTAAGATGAATAACTTGCGATAAGTTTAAAAGAAGATGATCACTTATTTATTTAATAAGATAATTTCTGTATTTAAAATATGATATTATAATTTGAATGGTACTTATTATTATGAATATTTAAAAAAATTAATATTGAACTTTCAGGAAATGAATAATTTTAATTGTAATACTACCTTTGTTTTTTACTATAAAATATTTTTGAATATCAATTCCTACATAAATATTGATTTTTAGCAAATCTTATTGATACATAAATGATTTTTGTATATTCACAGAAATTAAGTTAAGAATATTATCTAAATTTCTTATCTAACCTTACCCCTCCTTTTCATTCGAGCACATTCAAATATCATAACCAAATTAAGTTACTTATTTAATTAATCATTTAATGAAAAATGTATATATACTAAAGTATAATTTTTGTAGCAATAATTCTTTTAATTTTTTTAGACTTATCGTTAGTAATGTTAGTGATATGATTATATTTTCAAGTTTGATTATGTAATCCCAAAAATCCCTAATAATTATTTTGTGAATAATAAATGAGTTTGAATTATCTGAAGTTAAAAGAAAATCATAAGAAAATTATAATAAAATATTTATCAATTTATGTTATCTTAGTAAAGAACTTTTGATTATTTTTTCTATTTACAAACCAAAATTCAATTACTTAATCACGAAAACAATAGAATTAAAAGAATTGATTGCAATGATTTAAGAATGTAAGAGAATATTTATAATGTCTGGCTTTTTAAGATCTTATATTAGATATTAAAATAGGTTAGTAAAATATTTAGAATAAGTTTGATGTAAACTTATAAAAATATGTAATGAAAATTAATCTAGAAAATTCTTTTATTTTATCAGAAGAAACTTAAAATAAATTATAATCTGTTATCAAGATGAATGTTGCTGCTACGTATTCCATTGCAGGAATCTCAAGCATAGCTATTATTACTGAAAATACTATTATGTTTGTTAGCCTATCAGATTTATTATAATCATTGTCTTATTTAAGATATATGTATAGTGAGTTTATTTGAATTATATTAAATTTTTAATAATAAAATTAATAGCATTAATTTAACTACATATATATATTAATTTCCATCTCATTTATTGAATTTTTGTATACCTATACTAGGGTTTCACTCCAACCAATCTTAGATTATTGAAAATTAATGAACTATTAATTAATTTGAATGGTGAAACTTTGCCATTTTAAACTAAAACTAATAAAAATAAGGCTAATCAAGCCCTTTAAATCAATTCTTTTTGTTGAATGCAAAAAGTTGTTATTTTTCTTTTTTTACTTCAGTAATTGTTTATTTTTTCTATTGCTTTGAAACTTCAAATATTTTAAATGCAATAATTGTTAAAAACTTCAGAAAATATAATACAAATAGAAGTATTCTAAGAATAATAACATTATTTCAAAAGTAAGTTTAATAATAAACTTTAAAGTTAAAAAATGAATACTTTTCAAATGGAATTTTTAATGTCTTTCAAGCAATTCTTCATCAGTTTGTATTCAGCGCATTATTATAATTCCTAGATTATAATTTTAATTCTCTTTTTTAAATATTCAATAGTATTAACGCCAAATGCAGTTTATTATTTATTATTGTTACAAGCTTATAATTATTGACTATCACATTCTCTACTATTAAAGATAAATATAAGTGGAAATATTTTTATAAAGATTCTAAAATGTTATTTGGGCAGATTGTAAATTATTCTAAATTTATAGAATTCTTTTCTATATATTTATGAAAGTTAAGTTAATTGACTATCCATAAGTATAATCATTATTACTTTCTATGCAATCATTCTTCTTTTTTATAAAATTAATTAAATACCTTTATAATCACCCTATGATTTGAATAAATTAAAATATAGAGAATTCTTGTTTATGCTTTTTATAGGATCTTTTTTAATTTACAGTTTTGAATTTAGCTAACTGATGTTTGGATGGATTCACATTAGTATGATTTCATTAATGTTAATTATTAATTTGATAATTGATCTTTTAGAGTCGATCAATAATGCTAAAACAATTTATTAAAAAGAGTAACAGAAAAAGTAATTACAAGAGTTAAACAAATATTATAATAATCAACTTCAAAGACTTGTATTTCATAGATGTAATACTCTCTTTATGGATTTTAACATTAATTCTTTCTTAATTATTATTTATAATTATTAATTAGAATTTGATTTGATTTGATTGCTAAATAAAAAGATTTTTATTAACTTTTAATTTAGAAGAACCATCTCATACATTTATTCAATTTAAGTTTACCTAAAATCAATTTGTTTTCAAAGTCTTAAGACTTTTGAATAAGCTATGATTTTTATCTATTTACTGTAATTTATGGAAAAAGAATTGCCAAATAGAAAAAAACTTGTCTATTTGTTTTAAGATAATAAAAGATAGAAAATCAATTTTAAAGTAGAAAATAAATCTTCTTAATGTTAATTGAATTCTGGAAATAATTCTTTAAAAGTTCATTAAAATTGATTCTTTAATGAAAAAAATTGTTAATTAATTCGACTATTTGGTTTATTTGCTCAAAATTGATTTTTTTTTAATGAAGTTGAAAAAAACGCATATATGTTGAATTCATTCGTTTTTTTGAACTATATGAGATATATTTAATAATCAACTTTTATGAAAATCAATTATATATTTCTTTGGATAATGTATCTACTTTACATATAAACTAAAAGTTTTTAGTATTATTATTCATTAAAAAAAAATTTAAGAAATCTAACGAGGTAATTTTTGGAAAATGAGCCATTTTTTAGAAATTTTA